TCCTTTTCCCAGGGAAGAAATAATTTGACTTCTCCAACCTTTCTCATTGGTGTGGTTCAGGGTTTTGTGCACCATGTGCCATTCTTAAATTGCTATTAAATTTGCTTAGATTTCAAAATGTTCGTATTTAACTACTTGATACTGGGCGTTACATCTTGGATAAGATTAAGACTGAGTGACACTGACTTTCTGCTATTCTGACATTTTACCTTAAATCTGTTCCTCCTCAATAAACAACATGCTATCACAGCTCTTAAATCTGTAGTTCACTATTACATAACTACACAATTTTAAACAGAAATCCATTGACTGACCATCCTCTTTGATGGGAATGTACTTATTTTCATTTCTCTTAATAAAATGCAACTTAACTTGGTCACCTGAGTTAGAGGGAATCTGATCTTAGGTTTGGCTGCACTTGGAGAATAGGAAAGCAGTGACTAGGAAGAGTTGTGTGTAATTAGGTCCAATGCATTTGTGGAAAAATGTCAGCAGCAGATCATCATTAATGTAAATTAAATTTCATCATAGACTAAACAGAAGGAAACTTTTGGATGCTTGTTTTCTTTATTTGAATGGGTTTGGATTATTTAAAAATATTCTTTGTGAAAATGAGAGTAAAGAATATGAAGTTTTAAACAGCCATTTTGATCGTTTCTAATCCTAACTGGAATGTTCTTCCCTCTGCACTAGTTTCTACTTCAAATTGTTTCTCTGATTGCCCAGCCTCTTACCCTTCATACTCTTTCCTCTAGCCTCTGAAAAGAAGTAGTCCTTAAAACATTTGGCTTCAGCATAACATTCAGAACCTGCAGAATTTCTTATCTGTAACAGAGGAAATAATTCTTCCATACCACTTCATTTGTAACTATGCAGTAAAGGATGCTGGAAGATGCCTGAAGCATGACATACCAGAGAAATATTTGTATTCCATCATCAGTATTTGCCCTTTGAAGAAAGAGTAGGAATAGACATTCAGCTGCAGAAATGTGACTAGAAAATTATTTATCTGTATTAAATTTGAACTCTTTATGTGCTGATTTGTCTTGCAGGTGAAAAATGGCTGGGACCAGTTCCCTCAGCTCCAAGCCCAAAACTGTGAAGTCTTGGGGAAATATCTAAGAATGAAAAGACAACGCTTATATATATGGTTGATCTTTGGTGATTATGTATCCAATTTTATAGAGAGATGGCTTTCTCTTCCTTAACTGCTAACTCTACAGATCAATTTCATTTCTAGTTAAGAAGTTTGAGATTTACTAATATGAACAATCTGATCTGTTCTTTACAAATACAAATGTATTGCTTTCAAAGATTAATGTTTAACATTAAAGATTTAACTTCTTTCAGCTTAAAACATAATCTTTTTTCCAACATAAAACATAATCTTTTTTCCTTGAAAGTATGAGGATTAAATTATTATGGGACCAGTATCTTGATGTTTAGAGTTCTCATATCTTCCCACTTGTCAAACACACATACAGCCTAAGAGAAGTTGGCCACATTTGCCTTTTAAGTCCAAGATACAAGGATAGAAGAAGCACAGGACAAGGCTTTCATGCTTCCTTTCACCTTGCAGCACAGCGAGTGGTTAGACTAGTGGAAGAGAGAGAGAGAATTCAAGTCCAAAGCAAAATCTGGGAAACTAGTCAAGTATTTAAAAAATAATTGTTCCCTCAACTGGGCAGTATTTATACCTGCACTCCCGTGACTGACACTGGAGGTCACCACACATGCACATTCACAGGCACCAGCTCCAGTCCTTGCGGAGGTTTTTAATTAATGCCAATTTTGCAGTAGCATCCTCGGAAGACAGTGGCGAACATGATGTAAACTCAGTTGGCAACTAAACTCGACTACGCCTTGCTTCCTCAAGAATGGCCTTGTTGCTGACTGTTCAACAGTGATCTAGGATGTGACTATGAGGGACTTGGTGTTATACAGTCTGCAGGGGGGAAGATACGCAAACAATAAGATTAAAATCAAAACACTTAATTTGCCACCCCCTCCTCTGGCTGCAGTCCTTACAATTTGCACATTAAAATTGTTTGAAAACTTGGCCTTACGTTGGCTGAATTGGAATAGCGTATTTGACTTGATTTGTGTGAGGCTTGATTTTTCAATGTTTTCTCACTGCCTCTGATGCATCAGTGAAGGAAGCAGAAGGCCTAGAAGCAGCTGGAATCTCTTTTTGTCTCTTAATGTTAAGGTAAAACATATGCTCAGTCATTGAACAGCGAGTCCTGGAACAAGGCAGCAGAAAAAGAGCAATATCCATGTTCTTATAGCTCTAAGTGTTTGTTTCCCCATCCACAATTTTTCCTTCTTACATCTCTTATGAATCTTCAGGAAATACCATGAAATTGGAGAACTCCTTTTTCCTTTTAACCAGTTCACCCTGGCTCCAGTCTGAAATTTAAGGAAATGGGGAATATAAAAGGCTACATTCACTGAGGAGTCAGAATGACAGAGAAGTTACCATCCACGTGAATGCCATAGGCTTTTATAAGTCCTTTCAAGCCATGTTGGACAGGTTTTTGACCGTCATACCCCTGAAATTTCCTGCTCTTTATCAGTGTTACAAAACTAATTCTGAGGTGCTGGTAAAAATAGAGTGGCTGAGACCTTGTTTTAGGCCAGACCCACATCAGTGACTTGATTCTCAATGCTGTCTCAGAAATGGGTAAAATGCACTTCTGTGGAGGTAATGAGTTCTGGTGAGAAGTTGGGGAAAATGCAATAAATGTCTTGAATTAATTTGATGGTGGAAGCCAGGTCCTCATGAAGCTTTATCTTGTGAAAGAGCTTGACTTAAGAAACAGCCTATGTGGCAGAACTGCTGGTTTCGGAAATGGATCTCATGAAATGGATCTTACAGAGTGTTGTGTACTTCTCTGAAATTATCTTCAAGGCTGCCAGATGCACTTGAAATCAGTAGAGATGAAATGATCAAAGACTGAGGTACTAAAATACCATTTACAAGCTGCTGAGAAGATTAACAAAATCCAAACTCAAGTTTTTCCCTGTATCACTTGTTGCCTGCGGTAACCACTAGTCAGTGATTACATGCTTTGCAGTTATTTCAGTGAGGATGCATATTGTTGCAAATCTGTAAACATACTTTGAGCAAAATTTGCCTGTTTGGGAGCAGAGGTCTGAGGAAGTTCTGCCTCTTGTCTACAGAGACCTAATCATGAGTCCATGGCTCTTGGCAGACACTGTCTGATGACTACCCCAATAAATGCTGGTTAGCAGCTATATTTTTAGTCTAAGCATTCATATCTGGCACAGCAGGCATTTAAGTAGTCTCAGCACTAACTTTGGCTTCTTTACCTGGCTTGCCTTTCTGATCTGCTCTCTATAAATGTTATTCTACGGGGACATCAGTGGCCTAGTACCACTGTGAAGAGCTCAGTTGTTCATCTGATTGCTCTGAGTGCCATGAGGTGGCAGGGCAGCTAACAACTAAGCATCATTTGAACATTACAATGAGAACTTAAACCATTGTGTCTTGCAGCATGCACAGGGGTTTGCATTAAGCACTAATAAGTACTATCAACTATTTGTGAATACCTGGAAGAGTTTTCTTCTCTTAAAGATGATGCCTCTTCTATCTAGCTATATACCGAGTTCCTCAGAGCTTCACACCTTTATCACTTTCAAGATAGCATGATGTTTAGCTGTCAAAATAGAAAGGGTACCAGAAAATGAGACAGAGTATGAGCCTAAAGAGAGACTCTGAAAGATTAAAATCTTAAATTTCTTCAGGAAAAAAAAAAAAAGAAAAAAGAAGAGTTTAGTCTGATTTTTATACAGTACATTAATTGTGGCTGAATAATTATTGGATAACTTACTAAAGGGAAACACTAAAACACTTGGATTCCTCTCCATGCTCCAAGGTGTTTTCTTTGTTTTTAGTTCTGCTTAACTCAGTTCATTCTTTGGTTAGGGATAACTAAAGTTTCTCCATATTGCATAGATGAATGCAAATTATCTGCATTCATTTAAATGTAAATTTGTCTAGGAACATTTGCTTGTTTTGCCGTACTTAGTCTTTTGGCAGTCGGTCTCCTATCAAGACTGGTAGCACACAGATAGGAAACTTCAGTATTTGCAAAAATAAGAATAAATTTATCACCCTCATTTTGCTTCCTAAAATTTCTAATGCAAAGAATTGCTCTTAATCCCATCTTTTCTTCTACCTCAAAAACTGACAGGATTTCTAGAGAATAGAATTTCAAGAACTTTAATTTCACTTTGTCCTACAAAAGTTCAGGCTCAACTTCGCTATCTCCTGTGCCTCACGCAGACGTGTAATCTTTTATTACCTTCTTCCCCTTCACATATTATCATAGACACATTGTAAATGTTGCAAACGATGACATCACCACAACTTCTTACAGCTATCAGCAAATGCACTCAAGACTACACGTCTATAGCCTCTTGGTTGGGCGACTTGATTTCACATAGACTGAAAAATGTCACAGTGTTCATCCACTTTAACTGTGCCTCTTGGCGTAAGTCAGAAGCCCATACATAAACCTACATGTTTGCTTGTGTACCTTTATACAACATATTGAAAAAACAAAATCTCTGCATGGAAGAACAAAGAGTAGATATGACACAGCAAAAAATTACCACTCCTGGACCTTGTACTATCAACTTGGCTTAAGGATCCAGCAAGGTTTTCTGGCAAAAATTGCAGGAGTGAAAATGCTGCACGAGTGAGCAGAAGGGAGAAGGAGAGAGAACCTCAGCCAATGTAATGAAAAGTTTAGAGGGGATCACTGGGATCAATTCCACTGTGCTTTATGTAAGGCACACAGATAGCAGAGGTAACTTGATTTGCAGAATGATTACACTAGGATTTTTTATGGCCTTTGGCTGGATAGGCATATCAATCGTTACAAACAGCACTGCATCATTTCTGTGATATGAAGCTTCAGGATGTTTGCACAGAGACCTCTGGAAGACAGAGAGCAAGAGAACCACAGTTACTCACAAGGCCAAAAGGAAGGTGAATGCTTTTACTTGATGATAGCCAATTGTCATTTACACTTATTTTCTGCTTCTGTTGGTATTTCATGCAACAAGTAGACATGAGCGACACACCTTCCACAGGGAACCAACTCATGCACCTGCTTGGTCTACATGTGGTGTCACAGAGGCAAAAGGAGCAAATAAAGTTCACGTATTTGTGAGGGAGTGTGTGGCCAGATTAGATCCATGTGGCAAATTAGAACCCACTCCCCCATTAGTACCTGGTATAGTTATCCAGTGACAGATATCAGGCCAAAGGGTACGGTACCAAAGGCCAGGATACGCCCCAGTGCAAGTGGAGGTGTTGACTCAAGACAAAAACACAGCTTGTATCCTACCACAGAGGGCAGACCTACCCCTCTTCATACCTGTTAAACATCTGTACTAATCCCCTTGAGTTTGTTAAGTTCACAGGACCACTGGTGGGAGCAACAGCACTCCAGCATGCCTCAGTGTCCATGAGGAAACATCACGACACCCAGTGGTGGCCTGTTGACCTTTCAGGAACAGGTGAGCACAGACCTGAAGCACTACTGGTCCTTGAAGATATGCCTCCTGAAGGAACATCAAGTGTTGGCCCTACAGAACCACGAAAAGACTGTCAACAATCACCTTCAATGTCTTGATACCCAGCATTGCAACAGGTAATTTATGTGTATCGTGATGTACGTCGTACTTTGGATTGCCAAAACAGCAGGAGCTTACCCCCAACTTGCTCAATCGTTGGTTCAAGCTGTAAAGGGGTGGAGTGCAGTGGAATTGCCAGGTCACTGCCTGAACCAATGGTTGAGCACCAGGTGAGAAGGTGTGCTTACCCCGGGAACTCAGGTACAAGCAATGCATCTGAATGACTGGAAGGAGTGGAGACTGGATCCACCCCTCCTCACCCTCATTTAAGGATTAGCAGCTGAGGGAGCAGTATCTCTCTGGATATCTCTTGTGCTCCTCTCCAGCCATCACAGGTCATTGGAAGGGGTGAGCTAATTTTGTTTTGCTATTGTTCCACCGTGCCTGAATCCTATTAGAAGGCACTGTCATCGCCTTTTTTTGCCATACAAAAGGGAAGGGACTACCTATCTGCTATCAGCCTGTCATATTTGATCTTACATGAATTTCCAATCAGTACACAGGAACACTGAAAGCATTTTTTCGTGTCACTGAATTTACAAAACGTTACTGCTATGTTTCTGGATAGTTTTAACACTAGGAATCAGGAAAGCATGTGCACAGAATCACAGAAACACCAAGATTGGAAGAGACCTACAAGATCATCCAGTCCAACCATCCACCTATCACCAATAGTTCTCACTAAACCATGTCCCTCAACACAAAATCCAAACGTTCCTTGAACACCTCCAGGGTCGGTGACTCCACCACATCCCTGGGCAGCCCATTCCAGTGCCTGACCACTCTTTCAGAGAAGGAGTATTTCCTAACAAACATCCAGCTTAAATCTCCCCTGGCACAGCTTGAAGCCATTTGCTCTAGTCCTATCACCAGTTACACGAGAGTAGAGGCCGACCCCCAGCTCCCTACAACCTCCCTTCAAGTAGTTATAGAGAGCAAAATTAACTAGTTATAGAGAGCACATTTTAAGTAGTGTTATTAAATGGTTAATTAAGAAAGTTTAAGGAAGGAGAGAGGAGGTAGAAACTACTTGCCAAAATGTTCATTATTTTTTTCATGTCTCATTAAGTAGCTGTTATGGATAAGCGTCAAGCTCTTGCACAGACAAGTCCTGCTTGGAGACAGGAACGTATTCAAGTCAAGATGCCCATCTTCTATACTCTGTATGTGTACAGTTGCCTGTAGACAAGAGGGCTTCAGTGGCTCCTGTAGATCCATTCCACTAGATTTTTAGCTTCTGTATGGCTGTTATGAAGGGAACATTCAAAGCATTATATATGACAAATTGGATCTATTGATCACAGCTCACTCAAATATTTTGCATTTTAAGGTAGCCTGGAGCATGTTTCTTATCTGCCAGAGCAAGACCTTTAATGTCAGCTTCTCCTAGCTTAGAGTTTGGTAACCACTACTTGTCACTTCCTAGTAGAGAGTAGCTCATGAATCTCACGTGCTTATATGCTGTGAAATGTACCATGTGTGTAACACTTACGGTGAAATACTCACCATAGAGAGAAAGTGCTGAAATATGTTGAGTAACTCAAAAAGATGAAAGAGGCAATAAAGATAAGACAACTTCAATATATTAAATATATTTATTCATTCAGAAATACTGCAAAACACGGCCGGTCTCGACCTACAAGCAGTATTGAAACCTAAAGCCCCAGGCATATTACATGCCAGCATGCAATAGGGAGAACAGTAAAGGCAAGGCCAATACAGGCCAAAGATATTTCCTCATGAGGCTACAAAATATATTTTGGAGGAAATGAAGGCTAACATACTTCTCCCTTGGCAGAGCCAATCAATAAAATGAGCTGGGACCTAAATTTCCACTAAGTATCACCTTCTTAGCACCCTTCCTCAGCAGATTTCTTCATTCTCTTTCTTTGGATTGCATTTCCCAAACTAGGTCATCCATCTCTAGTGCTTACTAGAGACAGAGGTGGAAATGTGTTCTGCTTTTGACTTAATTCTCTTTCTGAATAAGTCTAAGGGAAGAGGAGGTGCTCAAGGTAGCCTCCTTTCCCCCAGCATTTGTAGAGTCTGATTCAGTGACTGCTGATTGGACAGTGGGAAGAGCCTAGAGTCAAAATGCTCCAAAATAATTTCTTCCTTCCTAATTTCGTCCTTCTTCCTCTCCATGATTCCTGCTCCAGGGACTGCCAGTGGAGCATTATGTGGTGTCACTTGGTCTTTCCACAGTCCTTGAGGTCCTCTAAGTTCATGCTCCTCTTAGCCAGTACTCTCATTTCACCCAAAAAGTCTTGCCAGTATCTTCAGTGAGGTAAACAATTAGTAGCATCCGGTCCACTCCTGATTGGCTTGATGTCCCCACTCAGATGTGTCTGAGAAGGGAAAACACATGCACACAAAACCTGTGTAGTTTTCCTAGGATTTGGACATACACAGTACAGTGCTTGATTTTCAGATGAAACTTGGAAAGAGTCCCGATCCTGGGGAGTTTGCTACCTTGTTACTTAGGCTGGGTTCATTCTTTCACCATGTCCTTGGGAGAAAGTATTATTCAGAAGGCTACCTGGACAACAAAGCAGAAAAAACTAAGGATAACTGTCCCTGTATGTTGGAGAATAGACAGGAGTTGTCCAAGTGAACAACGCAGCTTCAAATATTACAGTTTGACTACTGCAGAAGAGTGTTTTAGAAATCAGTAACTGAAAGTAACTATTGGTTTGTCTCTACTGTACAAGAATTTACCTGTTATACATCTGTATGTTTCCATTATATTTATTTTTAAGTTGATTTTGTAGGACATAGATGAAGAGTCCTGATCACTGCAGTCTAGAATCTGCAATGCTTGACAACAGCAACAACATGCTGTACTTTTTGCCATAGATAATGCTATTCCCTAAAAAGAATCAGAAATGTGTTTATGACATAATACCAGGGACGACATTATTAATGTGGTCTGCCTAAAATATTCTAGATCTGGATGGAATTCATTTTGTATTAGAAATATGCCTATAAAGTGATGACGATTTATGGTTTCACAATGAGTAAACAGTAAGCAGATAATTTTCTAGAACTTTAGGGATCTCCAAGACAGATTGCTAGAATCACAGCCCTAACCCATTCCTACAATGTTGTACTAACACTGTCGTGGTGAAAACTGTTTGCTTTACGTGGTGAAATTACATATCCTTAGTTTCCTACTACAGGCATGTTGCTGAAGGTATAACTGCATGTGGGCTGGTCCCTAGCTCTGAAAAACTGGCTAATCACAAACAGTGCAAAACTCCATGCTGCATCATACCTCATATGCAAACTGTGCATGCGATTTCTCATGTCGACAATCAATATTCATGCAAATGTTCTTAATGAAGACCTGCGCAATGTTTGTTCTCTGAAAACAGGTGATATTGACTTGAAACAACTAGCTCACCTCCTCAACTCAAGAACAGAGAATGGGAGTTGGGAAGTGGGGGGAGCCCACAATCAAATGCAGAAGTGAGGAACCAGTGGGTTTTTCTTATTTGTTTGTTTTCCCAGGATATATACATACCTACAGAACAGACCAGCTATAAGGTATTTTCATACCAGGAAAAATTCTTGCTGGTTACACAAGTTTACTTCAGCTGCCCAGTCAGTCCCTCACACGTGTTTAGCCAGGAACTTGAAGTTTGCTAACAAGCTCCCAGAAAGGATGAAGAGGAGGAGGTGGAATTATATGGTAATGTTGGAAGAAGGATGCTGCTGACCAATAAGCAGTTGCATGTCCTGCATTCTCTCTAGCAGTGTCTCTGCTAGCAGTGTCTCTGCTAGCATCTTAAATGTTCTGTATCTTCTAGTTATGCTTTCATTCTCCTCCCTTGAAAAATTTATGACACCTACCTAGCCCAAAAATGACTATGATAGAAACATACTCACCAGAACTCTGCACCTTCACCGTGACAAAATTCTAGACAGCCCTACACCACATAATTGGGTAGATAACTCCTGCAGATAGTCATCAGCCTGTAATTCTTGGGTGAATTGGGGCTAGTTAGAATGAAGGCCCTCCCTTGTCTGACTTGGCACCTAGAGCAACAACCACAGGGGCCTCATTCTAGGGTATACTTCCTGACTTTTTTTAAAGGAGCTCCAATACTGAAAGAGGGATACATCCTGCTACAATGTACTCACTGTCCCTTTCTGCCACACATTTTGTACAAGTTCTCAGGAGTGTGCCAAGCTGTTCCAGAAAGTTAGCTACAGTCTTTGATTTAGAATCACAGAATCATAGAATGATCTGGATTGTAAAGGACCACAATGATCATCTAGTTTCAATCCCCCCCTGCTATTTGCAGGGTCACCAAAAACCAGACCAGACTGCCCAGAGCCACATCCAGCCTGGATTTCACAGAACCCAGAGCATCCTCTGGTGTCTTAGAAATGCAAATGTGTGGTTTCATAGAATCATAGAACAGTTTGGCTTGGAAGGGATCTTAAAGACCATCTAGTTCTGACTGCCTTGCTCTAGATGGGTTTGTCACCCACTAAATCTAGTTGCCCAGAACTCCCTTCCAATCTGGCTTTGGACAATCCCAGAGATGGAGCAGCCACAGTTTCTCTGGTGAACATGTTCCAGTGCCGCCTCGCTCTCTAGAATTTCTTCTAATCTAAATCTATCCTCTTTTAGTTTAAAACCATTACCTCTTGCTGTAACGCTGCACTCCCTGATAAAGACTCCATCCTCATATTTCCTGTAGGTTCCCCTTAAGTAATGGAGGGAAATCTGCAAAGTACTGAGGTATCCTAGATAGGATTCCATCTTAGCATAATACAGCTTATCAACAGCATTTCTGCATTGCTAGGGAAGAGTAATTTTCATTGAATCTTAGAATTGTAGAATCACAAGGTTGGAAAGGACCTACAAAATCATCTAGTCCAACCATCCTCCCATTACCATTGCTACCACAAGCACTAACCCGTATCTTGCAGCTCCTCATCCAGACGCCTCTTGAACACTGCCAGGGACAGCGACTCCACCACCTCCCTGGGCAGCCATTGCAGTGCCTGACCACTCTCTGAGAGAAAAAGTTCTTCCTCATGTCCAACCTAAACCTCCTCTGGTACAACTTGTAGCCATTTCCCCGGGTCCTGCTTGTTGCCTGGGAGAAGAGGCCAAACCCCTCTTCACCCCAACCTCCCTTCAGGAAGTTGTAGAGTGCAATGAGGTCTCCCCTGAGCCTCCTCTTCTCCAGCTCCCTCAGCCACTCCTCATGAGACTTGTGCTCCAGACCCCCCACCAGTTTTGTTGCCCTTCTCTGGGCACACTCCAGGGCCTCAAAGTCTTTCTTGTAGTGAGGGCCCCTAAACCAAACACAGTAGTCAAGTACAGGAGATGATTACCTCCCTGCTCCTGCTGGCCACACTATTTCTAATGCAGGCTAGGATGGCACTGGCCCTCATGGCCACTGGGCACAGTGTTTCTGTAGTACTCTTTAGAAATGTGAAGAACTATGTTGTAGGCTATTCCATGCAATATTTTGCAGAAGAACACTGGGTGCAGAATGGAGTGCTTTCGCAACAAAACATAGATGAAATACAAGAGACCATAACACCTGCTATCACACCTTGTGGGGACTGAAGACAGGCTTGTTCAAGTCAGTTAGGAGCAGCAGTATGAACTCTGCTTAAAAAGGCAGAATTTGAATAAACCCAGCTTCCCAACATACCCTTGTCCAAGTTTCTCATAAAGCTCCATAATCACTTCAGAGCAAACTACAAAGGAAACATATATATGGGTATTTGTAACTGGACAGCTAATGCTTTGTATATACTATTAGATAGAAGTTAACATGATGCTCAAGATACAGCCAAAATCACCTTTAAGCAGCCCAGTCTTTATTTTTAAGAAAGCTGAGCTCCTTGTGTACATGCTCCAAATTTCTGTGTCAGGGCTAGACATTAAATTTTTAAGATGTTGCAATGCCTTATGTGAACAATCTTGCTATAGCATTCAAGAGAGCAAGACATGCACTATTCTTTCTTAAACCAGCACCAAACACAACGAGCATCTTTCAAATATTAAAATCATTTTCAACTCACTTGCTCTTCCTGCTGGGGAACTCTGGGGAGCTGGGACTGGATGAACCATCAGATTTCAGGTCAAGCAAAGTTTCTGGACAGTCTACCATCTTCTGTACCCTCTCTGCAATGTCTCTGCTTAGAAAAAAGAGAAATCAGCTATATCCCAGGGCCAGAGTTCACCATTTTCAGAGTTCACCATTCACACTATTGTAGGCGTTCCTTCCAGGCCACATTACAAAGCTGGATCTCTCACATACACAGGAGGGAAAGCAAATGTATTTGTACTGAAAAGGACATATGCCTTACAAGCTGTTAAGGGCAGTGTATTAGAAATGGTCACGTTTTTGCTCATTTTAAGTTTATGTAATTTATGTAAAAGACTAAATTAATTTCAGTATTTCACTTTAAATTCTTCAGCTTTTTCTTTCACTGCCCACTCCCTCCTCACCCCCGCCTCCCCTCAACACACACAGACATTTCATGAGTCTTGAGAAGATTTAGGTCTCATTAGAGAGCGTTTATACTAATTGCATAAGGGATTTTCTGATTAACTGAAGTTAGCTAATGTCTCTATTTCAGGATAGTTCCAGTATTTTCTTTTTTCTGGTACCTATCAAGACACTTCTGAAGAAAGCTGCCTATGTGAGTAACTTAAAATTGAGGAATGTTACTTCAACAGGAATGGAAAACTCATTTCCCACCTCACGTTTTTGTTACATTTTTTGGTGTTTTCAGCAATGGAGTTTACAGTTCCTCATGTACTCTCTTGGTCAGCTATCTTACATGTACTCTTCACATCACTGTTCATCACGTATTCTTTTGTGCTAACAACTGCTTGTGACACTGAAAATGATTCCAATAAAACAATCTTGAAAATTGAACAACCCTGAAACTTCTATGACACATGAACAAGCAGGATGGACTGGCTTAGCTCAGTCATCCAAGACTGCATTTCATTAAGCTACAACTTCAGAATGAAGTCACACATGACTTGTTGAGTTCACTGCTGCCAGAGAAAGAGCCTGCAAGTAAGTTTAACAAATCAATGGGAGAGACATAACGCAACAGTGACCTTTCTTTATTTTGTTGCAGGCTATGTCCCAGGGCCAGAGAAAGAGCCTGCATTCCAGCCTCTTTTGCTGAGTATAGCTTCTAGCAGTTCTGGCACTCAGACTTTTCCATGAGTTAGTTCAAAGTAGAACCTGGCAGACACTTATCCCAGTTGATTAATGGGCTAAATCAATTCCAGGAAGGGCTCAATAAGTATTCAAGTTATCACAAGGAATTAGATGGGACTTGGTAGCTAAAAGAGATAGTGAAAGAGGGAATGCATGATGCCTGCTTTTCAGTAGCCATGAACTATTAGATCAGACCAATTGCAAGTGAAACTGCATGTCAGGAACCACCTAAAAAGTCTTCCAAAAAAATCCAAAAATAAACTCACAAAATAAGGCTTAGCATTCCTTACATTTAAGTTTACAAATAAGCAAAAGAAAAGCTAAGTAAGCCCAAAGGTTTTCCAATTGCCATCTAGCAAAGAAAAGAAAAAGGAATTTAAGTTTATTCCTTGTAGGAAACTTTTACAAATCTTCAAAGGGGATAGGGAATGATATGGTACATAAAGTAACAGATTGAGACACACAGTTGAAGAATGTTCTAAAGTGCTGAGGAGCTGTGACTACTCCGTTGGCTTAGACTGTTACAGAGAAGATGTCTCAAAAGATTTTTATTTTCCTCAAAGAAAGTTCTATACTATTTCTATTAAAATAATATCATAGGTATCTCATTAAGTTCCAAGATAATAAATTGAAAGAAAGAAAAATGTAATAATTCTTCCTGTTGTAAAATCACTGGTTTCCATATTACAGATGGCTTTTGCCACTTACAATCTTTAAGCTGTTTCCAGAATTTCTTGTAATTGGGAAAACTGAGTATCAGGTGCAGGGCACTCGTATAGCTTTTGAGAACCTGAGCACTCCTTAAAAGTGCTTTGTAACTACAGCTGAGACAATCTTTATGATTTGATGATATATAATCAAATGAATCAGATGAAATATCATCTCTGTTGACCAGTAAAAAAACCACAAATGGTAGAATGGTTATGATTTTATCAAATACACCAAACTGCACTTGGACCCTAAGAATTTGCTCTACCAAATAGTGCTATTGTATTTTTGTATCTCTTGTAGTTCCCATGGAAATTGGAGTCATTTCTTTTTAGAGTGATCTCTGTAATATATTTTGTCTATTTTAACTTCTCAACACGAGAACAAAACCAAACAAGAACAGATTTTTCCCCCAGATCAAAGCCTTGCACCCTCTTACTTAAATACTGATTCTCCCTGTTTCCAAATGTCCTTTTTTCATTCTTGCTTTCTGTTATTCATCCATCTCTATATCAGATGATAATCAGGACTTAGTTCCCATTCCAACCACTTCCAAGTCAGTTCTCATTCCTGACTGTTCCCTTTCTGCGCATATCCATGCCCTTCTATATTCCTTTTCTCACCCTCTCCTGTTTTCTCTCTGCTTATCTTATCTTCCCACAGCTTATACCTCTTCTCCTCCTGTATGTTCTCAATGCCAATGGCACTACTCCGTCGCCCATGGAAACGGCTGGTTCGAGTACGTGATGGGCTCCTACCAGGCAAGGCAAAAGACTAGAAAAAAGGAAAGTGTTACAGGAAGGAAGAAGGGAAATGAGACAGGAAAACTGTGGTGAACCAGAAAGGGAGCTTGCAACACTAATCCAGATTCCCTCTTTCACTTTGCTATGCTATATAGTAGCACAATCCTGCTCCAACAATGCAAGGAACAATACTTTCTGTCCATGAAAGTTTCTGAAGCAAACATTCAAACAAGTGGTAAGGGAGGGACAGAGAGATACAAGATACAGAGCAAGACATACAGCTAGAATACAGAGAAAGAAAAATCAGGAAAGGAGGCAAAAATCATTAAAAGGCAGTGAAAACTAGAAGTTAAAGGGGAGAAGGAAGAAGCAAGCCCAAGTTAATACCATTCTGTGACTTTGCAGTGGTAACACAGAATGCGTATAATTGAGTAAATGGTAACCTTGAAATTCCCACCCTGAAAATTTCTTAGCTAACTCAAAGTTGTTTTTTCTTCATGACTAATGCAGAGACCACAATAAGCTGCACATGCTTTGGCTAACATGACAACATTTCCAATATTAGAAACCTGGATACTTTTCTGGAAACACATCTGTCATAGATTTATAATGCATCCCTATCAAATAAGACAGACTTTGATAGTGTATAGAAATATTCACTCTTTCTCTCATCCCAAACACTATTAACTCTTCTGTTTGTTCCAAATCTGAAAATTCTATCTACAGCAAAGGAGTATTTTGAGTAAACATTGCCCATCTGTTTGTTTTAGAGAAAAAAATAAGTGACTGGTGAAATTGAAAAAATAATGGAAAAATTAGTGTCCTAATGTTTTCAGATCTAGTCATACAGTAGTACAGTACCATTTTGGTGAAAGCACAGTGCAAGCATTTGTTTTTAAAGTTATGACAACCCACAGGATCTAATATAGGACAACAGAGATAACTGTTTGATGCGGAGTCATGTTTTGTTTTCTTCTTCCAGTCTCCATCAATCTTAGCTCTAGTTTACAGATGAACTGGTGCTAGAGATAGGCACAGACAAAAAAGACTGCAACACATGTTTTCACCACTTGTGAAATGGAAAGATACAACAGAAAGAGATTAACAGAAGGGCAGCAGGACAAACTACTAGTGAAAGAGAAACAGTATGTACAGGTGGGTCACAAGGGTATGCCAGATTTCTTTTTACGGTCCACCCTAATACCTTACCGCAGCAATGGCCTTAGGGCCCTCGGCAACACTCTGGCTCAGAGCAAGGCCAGCTGTCATCGGGCGGCTGGGCATGGTGGCTGGCTGCTGCTTTCTCATAGATATCCCCATGGTATCCAGGCTCTGGCTGCGGCCTCTGATCACCCGCTAAACAAAAGGGAGGCAGGGAAACAGACAAGCACAGATACACATACAGACATGCACACAGTAGGGCACTATGAAAGTCACCACAGCAAGGCTAGAAAGCTGGGACAGACCAACACCAGAAAGACAGAAATCCTAACTCCTCAAAGGCAGCATCTTACGTATAACCCTTTTGTTGCTGTTCTGGCTGATTTATGGAATTCACTGCTAGTAAAGAACTCTTCCTCAAATATACTCTCTGCTTTTATTTCATTTTTTATATTGCAGTAGAGATTCCCTCACAGTATCCCAGCTTCCTGAGTAAGACAGCATCATCTAATGCAGTCTTGCCCAGTATAAGCTACAAAACACAAAACTGGAGACTATAAGATCATGCATGAAGGTGAGAACAGCTATTTGAAAATATGCAGCATTTGAAAAAAACATTTTCTGATATTTCTCAGTCTTTTCCAACCCTTTGCAAAGGTTGTTTGTATACAATGATCTGTAAATCATAGTACCTGCTATAAGTCAGAAAAGGACATTTTTGGAATAATTACTTTAAGATGTAGGTGGTTATGAAACTCCTGGTTAGTGGCAAGAGGAGGGTAGATTGACTGTACATATTAATAAAACTCAACAAACCATCCAAGATCTGACCAAAGCTACACATATACTTAGTAGTTACACGTGACTGGCTTAGTTTCACCATCCTTAATAACACCAATCAGCCCACCAGACAAAACAAGGGGAGTTCATCTAAAGAAAAGCTTTCTTACTAAGTCTCTTGTTAAGACAAAGAAATTGGTGACACAGAAATGGGAAAGTGAGAGAAAGGAAAGTGACGCAAGATTTTTCCTATATAAGCAGCTCAAAATTAATTTCTCCTGTTTGTTCAAAAACTTTGCTTCCACTTATTGTCTTGATCCTTGCACTTTTACAAGTAAGTTGTCACCTGATCCTGACTTTTAAAATGAAAGAAATCTAAGCTGAACAACAAGATATTAACTCTGGATTTAGAGGGAAAGTAAAGCATCAGTATTTTTTAAACAATACATGCTAAGTTGTGTTGGAAACTCTTGCGGTGGCTCCTGCTATTCTTTCAGCCATAATGAAAATGAACTGGAAGGAGTCTACTGTGAGAAATTAAAGCTGCTTTCTACTAGTTATTGCAGTTCCTCCTGTAAGCACCTACACCCTTTCCAACAAGTCAAGGAACGAAACCCCGTCTGACACTAGACACCAGCATGACACATAAAGAAAGAGTCTGATGTCCTAGGGACAGTATAGAATTCTATCAAAGACCAAGTTTTAGCTCCACAGAAAGATGTACACGAACTGGAAAAATGTGTATTTTTGAATGATACAATAAAGCACAGTGGAAGATGCTCTAAAGTAACACTGCTACAAGAAAAGTCTTCCTTTCCATTTAATCTGCTGCACAGCTTATTGCTAGGGTCAATATTCCTGATGGAACACAGTGATCCTTAAATAAAAAAGAAAAAAATGGACAACTGATAAGGAACTTCTTCAATCAACCTTGACCCACCTTGAAATTCTCAAAGAAGCCCCCACTGCCATTCTCTGTCTTGTCATCTTCTTCTATGGGCAATCCCATCATACAGCGGCTGCGAAACTGCAGCTCCTCAAAAAGACTCTCCAAGAGGGCACTTCGTGTTCTCTCCTACATCAACATCGGGAATGAAAACACAGCTATAATGGGGAGAGTGTAGAAGGGTGCTGTTACTGCTGTATCTCTTGTCCTCATTTTAAAAACAAAAAATATCATGAAAATTAATTTAAACATTGACTGATTTCAGCTATGTAAATATGGAATTTATAGTTGTAGATAGCCCCTTTAAACTCCTTTTAAATCAAGTCATAACAGACACTAGGTTTTACAGGTGATGAAAATGAGGCATGGGTGGAGGGCAGTTTTTTCTTAGATCACGCAAGCAGCAGATCTTGGAACAGAATTTTGGGACTTTGAACAAAACTCTTAACATGTACCCTGAAATGCAATACTGAGTCTCAACTAATACAGAATTTCCTACAGAAGTATCTGTGCATCATATACAAACTCTTACTTGAGGATTAAACAATGACATTAGAACGTATCTGTTCATACCCTACCATGCCAGTTGTAAAATACAAAGGAAGGATTCACATGGCTAAGAATAGTCACGTTTAAACATCAGAAAATTAGAAATAGAAGACAGTAAAAAATTATCTTGTATTTTCTTAATCTTGCAGCAATACAGTATTATATTTTTTAATGGAAACAAACAGGTAATCGTCCCACCTTTAATTTAGCAAATTTTTCAGCTCGATAGCAGCTGTATTCAGCATTGATGAGCTTGACCAGAAGGAATTCACGAAACTCTGTACTCTACAAAACAAGATGAAAATCCGACTGGAGATGAAGACAGCATTAGGAACATTAGGTGATAAAAGCTCTACCTTACTACTCCTTAGACTTCCAAAGCCATCTAGCCAGACTGACAATACAACAGTGACTGTAAATAAAAGGATGTGTAATATTTTCCCCTGCCATCTAACACTACATCAGAGAAACAAACCTTTCTAAATATGGCTGGATTTGGTAGAGAAGGTCCAAAGAAGGGCACATCATCTCGTGCTGTGACTGAAACCTGAAACAGTACAAGGGAATGAAATCAGTATTAGAAACCATAACACAATTGAGACTATTAGAGATTTCAAACTTCTGTGTTTGCACACATGTACATCGCAATGTATACATCAGAGATACTACTGTATCCTTCCTTCTGAATCATTTACATTTTCCAAAGGTACCTGTCAATTCCTGACCTCAGTGAACGGACTATAGAATTATAGAATTACTCAAGTTGGACCTTTAAGATCATCTAGTTCCAGCCCCCCTGATATAGGCAGGGACTCCTTCCTCTAAACCAAGTTGCTCAGAGCCCCATGCAGCCTGGCCTTGTATGCCTCCAAGGAGGAGGCATCCACAACGACACTGGGCAACATGTTTCAGCATTTCACCACCCTCAGAGTAAATAATTTCTTCCTAATAGCTAGTTTAAATCTACCCTCTTCCAATTTAAAGCCATTTCCTCTCATCTTGAAGCTACCTGCCCTTATAAAAAGTCCCTCCCCAGTTCTCTTTGCAAGCTCCCTTCAGGTACTGGAAGGCCGCTACTGGGTCTCCCCAAAGCCTTCCCTTTTCCAGGCTTCGTGGCCCTCCTCTGGACCCTCTCCAACAGCTCAATGTTCTTCCTGTGTTGGGGCAACAGAACTGGATGCAGTGTTCAAGGTGGGGTCTCACAGGAGCCGAGTAGAGGGAGAGAATCACCTTGCTCAGTCGGATGGTCACACTTCTCTTGATGCAACCCAGTATATGGTTATCCTTCAGGGCTGCAAGTGTACATCGCCAGCTAATGTTGAGTCTTTTATCAGCCTACTTCCCCAAATGCTTCTCCTCAGGGTTTCTCTCAAGCCATTCTCCACCCAGCCTATATTTGGGCTTGGGATTGCTTTAACTCAGATGCAGTATCTTGCATTTGGCCTTGAACTTCACAAAATTGGCATAGGCCCACCTCTGCAGCCTGTCCAGGCCCCTTTGGATAGCACCCCTTCCATCTAGTGTGTCAACTGCATCAATCAGCTTACTGTTTTCTGCACTGTGGGAACTACACTCAATCCCACTGTCCATGTTGCCTCAAAGATGTTAAACAGCACCAGTCCCAGCATCAATTCCTGGAAAAAAAAGGAATACTCATCACCAGTCTCCACTTAAACACCAAGCCATTAATCGCAGGTCTTTGAGTGCAACCATCCAGCCAATTCCTTATCTAGCGAGTCATCCATCCATCAAATCATTTCTTCCCAAATTTGGCAACCAGGATGTCATGTGGAACAGTGTCAAACGCTTTGCACAAGTCAGGTAGATGACATCAGTTGCTCTACCTTTGTTCACTGATGCTGTAACTCCATTACAGAAGGCCTCCAAGTACGTCAGGCATAATTTGCCCTCGGTAAATTCATGTTGGTTGCCACCAATCAATTCATCTTAATTTTCCAACTGCCTTAGTAGGGTCTTCAGGAGGATGTGCTCCATGATCCTGCCAGGTGCAGAGGTGAGAATGACTGGCTGGTAGTTCCCTGGATCTTCTTTTTTTCCCTTCTTGAAAATGGGATTTTTGTTTCTCCTTTTCCAATCAGCAGAAACTTCACCAAGACTGCCACAACCTTTAAAATGCAGCTTGGCAATTTTATCTTCCAATGCTCTTTTACCTCCCAGAAAATCATAAAGCAAAAGCAAAACACCTTGCTAAACCTTACATTTTAAAGTGTTCTTAATAATAAATATATATTAACAATAACCAGTGTATTTAGAGCAGAAAAAAGATGCTTCTATTCAGCCTGCAAGATTTACCTCCACCAGACAAACCAAATGTTAATACTAACTTTTTTTTTTTTTTTAACCAGACTTCTCAGTAGATATATACTGCACACTAAGGGGAATATAAGGGAGTATCCCAGTACAGTGACACTACTTCTCTTAGACACATAATAAGCACACAGAAGCAGTTTCCCAGCAAGAGATAAGTGCATCTATGATTTTTTTTTTTAAAGCATGCTCCTACCTCACATCCCAATGCCAAAAAATCGTAATGCAAGTACATTTTTTCAAATACTGCCACTTTGTTCTTCATAATACTTACCATGTATATGTAGCTATCTCACCAGATACTTCAGTTACTTTTTTCTTCATGTTTGAGATGGAACAAGGAACAGTATTATTCTTTTCCATTTCATACAACAAGGAACAACAGCAGTGCATCTTTACAGCAACTGCCTCAAAATAACACCCCATTGTAAATGTCACAGAGCACCTCACAAAGTTGTGTGAATTTATTGAGACTAGGGAAAGAGGCCCTAAATTTAGCTCAGATTTCTCACACTATTGGCCAGCTGCCCTAGTTACAAGGCCTCCCTCTCCCTCCCAACAGACCAAAATCCTGCTCTGCATTCTTAATCTTCTGTTTGTAAAAACTGATTCAAATAAATATCATCAAAATTCAAATTTAAGCATTAGACACTAGAGCCTCTCAAGGAAGAATTATTTAAAATTCCTTTGGAAAAGCCCTTATATTAAACAGCAGTAGCCCCAGAGTCATGGCTGGGGTTATTTATTTATTTTTTTTTAATGAAATGATACAGGCAACCTTACTACTGTGCCAAAAATAATGCTGTTGCACATAGGCAAAAACAATACTGGGAAGAGAAAGACAAGCTTCCCCAGCTGTTTTCTTAAAAGAAAAAATGCAGTGAATTTATGTGCCCTGTAAGATGAACAGTAAGACAATTAGAACCTCAAGCCCCTGATCATCAGGCAGCTATTTTCTCATGACAGACTCACATGTCCACAACATATAAAACAAAATATTGTTGTTATTCCAACACTATCACTCTTTTTGTGGAAGACGAGATGGAGATCCTGTTACAATTTTGACATTCTTGCCACTCTTGTAGACCTAAAAGGCTTAAGAACTCATTATCACCAAATTAGAATTTTTACATAAAATGAGACACAGCACATCGATTAAAATGTTTCTATAAAGGAAAATCCATCACGGAACGCAAAATAATGTGCCCTGATTTCTCATCATGATTGAAAGTTGAATTTAAAGTCATAGAGATATCCATATACAGACATGCAATAAATTGTTCTGGCAAGAGGCTATGGGTATAGAATCTTTGTTCTAGCAGGGCTCCTGTCAAATAGAGGACCTTAAGATGTAGCACTTCACTTTCAGATGAGCATTGGCTCCAGGATCCACAAAAGTAGATGCAGCTGGTTAGAAGTCCACAGAACAGGCCAGCGAGCTCTACTTGACATACAGTTTCAGGATAAGCAAGCTCTGTGCTATGATCTATTACTAAGCATCACACAAAGTTAGGTAAATGAGCTTTTCTTGATAATGCAAGAAAACCTCTTTCTTTCAATGAAAGAAAAAGATTACCCAAAATGTGATCACTTGCTCTTTGTGCTCTGATATTTTATCTGAAATTTTATCTAATACAAAACTTATCTGAATTTAAATCCCAAGTGCTAAGCTTTATAAATCTATCAGCTACACTAGAAAACACACAAGTACATAGTTTTGCTTTTTTTTTACATTCTATTTGCTAGGTAGAGATAATAAGCATTCCTGGACTCTGTTCAGTAAAACATTTGCGTTCCAGAATCTTGATTATTCTCAGTCTTAGTTCTTAATCAGACCTCTGCAAACCTACAGAATAGAGAATAGTATAGCAGGATTGAGACTCCTAGTCAGAGATCAAAGTGTAGGTAAAGGGGAAGGAGAGCTTTTCACTGAGAATGTTGTTAGCATTTACTGACAAAGCAAGCAAAGCTGTTTGGAGGACACATGGCCAATCTTGTACCTCTCCCAGAAGCCCACAAACAGGTTTTCGCTTCAAGGGTTGAAGTCAATACATCACCACAGAAGAATCTGCTGGCTCCATTTACCTTGTAGAGGGTCTCCCCACAACTGCTGTGAGTGAGCTGAACTACCACGTATGCATGTAGGAAATTAGAAGCAATCATATCAGGCACAAAAGGTGTGCTTTCATCCTGGAAGATGATGGCTACAATGTCGTTCCCAATGTGACGCTTCCGCTGAAGCTGAAGAGTAAAAAGTTAAAAAAACGTGGAGGTGAAAAAGAGTAGAACAATATAATAGGGCCTAAAACACCAGTCTGTTTAGCTTCTCCAGCCCATCTTCTCTAGTAAAAACCCCATCACTACTTTCACCATTTCTCCTGCCATACTTCCCAATATCATGCAGTTCTCCCTAATTAACTCCTCAATAAATACCCCTCCCCTCTTACCCACGCTTGCATTCCTTAGTTCTCCTCACAAATACCTGTTGGGAATCTCCTTCTGCGAAGGGCAGTTTTGTAGACACATGAAACATGATCTCTTTGCCCCGGAAATTTGTATAAACGGATTCAGTGCCTGTTTGACCTCTAATGACATCCAAACCTCCCCGGAACCTGAATAAATCCACACCACACAATAGGTTGGGCAGGACACAGATGAAAAAGTGGAGAGAACAAAGAAGATATCAGTAACGCTAGCTTATGCATCAATAATATCAAAGGTAACTTTAAAGAAATCAGCAGCAGTGTAGTAACTCATCTTCCAAAAACGAATGCAATAATCAAAGCTGCAAAATGTTTCTACCAATGAACAACCTTTCTTGTTAAATCGGTGAAGCTAAACCAGAGATCCTCAAACGATCTACTTGGTTTAGCATTCTTCTGAGGAAACAGAATCCATATTTTAGAACTGCAGAAAGTAGCTGTGGCAGAGCCACAGAATCACAGAATGGCCCAGGTTAGAAGAGATCTCAAGAGTCACGAATTTCCAATCCCCCCTGCCACAAGCAGGGCCACCAGCCTCCCCACTTAATACTAGACCTGGCTGCCCAGGATCTCATCCAACCTGGCCTTGAACACCTCCAGGAACAGGGTACCCATAACCTCTCTGGGCAGCCTGTTCCAGCACCTCGTAGTAAAGAACTTCCCCAACCTAAATCTTCCCTCCTTCCACTTAAAACCATTTCCCCTTGTCCTGCTGTTAGCTACCCTTTCAAAGAGTTGACCCGTGTATAATCAATGAATATTAAGATGTTACAATTACAAAATAAACAAGAGAGTTAGGCAAAACAGATTATAATGATACAATATATTGTTTACAGGCTCCCTTGATGCACTGAAAGTCTGCAATTAGGTCACCCCGCAACCTTCTTTTCTCCCTGTGACTGTTTTAATAAACAAAACAAGCTTGCATTTATACAGTCAAAATAAACATTTTCTTTAATGATCCTGGGTGACGTGTTGAAATACTCCAAGATCTCTAAATGAAAATTTTTAGCTGAGGCCTAAACTCCAACAGATTACCAGCCAGGATGGTTGACAAAAGCATGTTGGGCTTCTCCACCCTCCATCCCAGCACTCCGTATTTAGGACTCAACCCACCACATCTCACTAATACCAAAGATAGCATTACTCCAGGAATGGACCAAAGCTCCCATTTCCTCAAACTGTATGCATTGGTATACAAGCATTTCCAATGTGCTCCTGAACCTGAGGTGCCCTTTGGAGTGGCAGATGCTGCTATCAGCCTTGTCATCCTCTGATGATGACTTACATTCCTTTAGCTTGACCCCAGTATCCCTGATGGAATCTCCCTCTCCCATCAATCCTTGTTTAAAGCCTTCAGTCTGCCCAAGTTACAGGCTAAGAGATATTTCTCCTATCAGAGATCAAATCACTGAACCTTCTGCGTTCCCTAACCCATCCTGACTTTTAAAACATGCTTGTTACACACCCACGGAAATCCTGCAGCTGAATCTTGTCACCAAGGAAATCTAAGAACTCCAGGAAACCCAGACTCTCTTCTGTGTTACTGAAGACTTCTTCTTCAGTTGTCTTCAAAAGGAAAAGAGAAAAGCAAAAACAGTACAAAGATTAGGCAAAAACACAGTTCAATCAGCTTTGAGGACCTGCACAAAGGAAATAAAGTCATTATAAGGCAAGATTGTGTCCTTTCTGTTTAAGAAGTCTCTATTTTCCAGTATACCATACTTTCCACACTGCAGACCTTGTTATTACATTTAATCTAAGAGAACTGACTCTTTCTGTTTTGTCTTGAGGATGGTAGGATCTGAACTACCTTACCTGTCCAGGTTTCTGGTAGATTACCCCAAATTTGAAGTTATTGCTTATAACATGTTCATCAAATGCTACGATAAGCTGTGAAGCCTGTGAAAATGAAAATACAAATTATAAATTGCACTTAATTAGCCAGCTCTTGATGAAAAGGTACATAGAATCAGAAATTTATACCTTGGGATAGAGGACAGGAAAGAAGCGTTCAACATTCACATCTTCACACAGTAGCTGTTGAGAGACAGAGAGGGAAATAAAAGTGTGATTATCATGTGCTCTAGATTGCTGCAAGCAACCAAACATGGACACTCATAATTATCTGACAAGACTCCTTTCAAGAGAAAAAGCTGAGGTAACATTAGAAAAGAAAGAAGAGGAGCTAAATGGAAGAGTGAAAGGAGAAGTGTATGAAAGTAGTAGTGTGAAAAAGTAGAAAAGAGAGAAGTGGCAGGACAGTAACGTGAAAGTAACTAGGATAGAATGAAAAAGAGACCGACTCATGATGTAAGAGTGAGAAGGCAAGCAAGAATCTCACCTTTGCCATCTGGACAGCATTGGGAAATTCATTCAGACAGGAAATGGGGATCAGATCATGTTTGGTACCAGTTCGTGTCCTGAAATAAAAAAAAACCACACATTAAAGTGAATGTTGAAAGAGGCAGGTGCAATACCGGCTCTTTAAATAAACAGTAGCCATCCCTTCAGATTGTTCTTAAAACAGTTAATTCCAGAGGAATCATTTTAACCGTAATGCATAAAATCACTGAAAACAAAGGGGTACTTCCTACTCATCACTTGTTCTGAGAAGCAGAGAAAGACAAAACAGGCAAGCTCAAGAAAGACATGGGCCTGTCAGAGCAAGTCCAAAGGTGTGCCATGAAAACAATCAGAAGGCTGGAGCACCTGTCCTATGAAGACAGGATGAGAGGCTTGGAGTTGTTCAGCCTGGAGAAGAAAAAGCTCCAGAAAAATCACATTGTGACCTTTCAGTACTTAAAGGGGGCATATATGAAGAATATTTAAAGACTCTTCACCAAGGCCTGTAGTGTTACAAGTAATGGCTTCAGACTGAAAGAATCAAGATTTAGATCATACATAAGGAGAAAATTCTTGTGACACTGGCATAGGCTTGCCAGAGAAATTGTGGATGCCTGATCTCTGGAAGTGTTCAAGGCCAGGTTGGACAGGGTTCTGGGCAATCTGATCTTGTGAGAGGTGACCTTGTCAACAGCAGGGGGTTGGAATCAGATGCTCTTTAACATACAAAACCTTCCTTTTTCCATATATATATTAAAAAAGAGGTGTCTTTCTAGGGAAGAAGTAAGATTTGGCTGTCAGAGACCTCTTCCACCAATATAAACAAGTTACTAGGCAAAGGTGCTGCATATAGTAGGATATCTTAACTGAGAAATAAATACCCTTCACCAGTCTTTTCAGTGTAGGAAGGTTTCTAGGTTCAGATAAACATTCCCTGGTTCAGCTCATGAGTATGCTCTCAATTTTTCCCCTAGAAGATTCTTGCTCTGAAGTGTTCTCCACATACAATGGTCACAGTGGCAGTCTTGTAGTTGATTCCTACCCACGTTTTCCCTTGGTACTGAATGAGAGATGACAAGCAGCAATGGTATGTCAGTTTCTTCAAGTAGCATACTGCCTACCAAAAGTGGTCTCAGTCAACAGAGTAGGAAATAGCTTTTGTGCTGCATGCTTCTCATCTACACAAGATCCATCTCTATTCTTCCTCTAGTTTATTCAGCAGCTCTCTGGGCTTTGTTAAAGCCATAAAGGAGGCACACTGGCACATCAGAGGCTGTCCTGGGAAGTTAAGAGATGTCCTAGCTCACCTTCAAGTGGGATTTAGTCTCAAGTACAAAGCCCAAAGATAGGCCTGAGCTAGTCTGCTCTCAACTAGGAAAGGCACATTCCCTCCTTCAAGAGTGCTCACATCTTTAAGTAAACAGAATTAACAGAAGTTTATTTTTGAAGGCGGAACAAATAATTTTCTCAGAAGAACTGTAAGGATGTGCCTGCAAATGCTTCAGCTTTCTGAAGGAAATTACTAGAAGAAAGTCAGAGGAAGGCAAGAAATGAAGGCTCAAAGCTTTCTTTACAAGCTTCTCTAAGAGAGAGACATGAGATTCACACCCACATCTATGCAGAGAAAGTACAAGGTAAGATGAGAGACACATCACAGTAACACATACTACTACAGAAGACACTGTTACCTCAGCAACAAGCGTAGATTTTCCTGTTTCTCAGACTGTTCATACTTCACAGAAAGTATCAAGTAGCCCAAGGACACATCACTGGAATAAAAGTTCTGGTGCTCCTGAAAACAGGAATTCAAAATGCATTATTCCCAACATGCTTTCCAGAAAGTATACCAAAGTTTTTACAACCTGTAAACTCAGGACTGGTTTGTTTTTGATTTAAGTAGCAGTGGCATGCTCGAAGACATGCTAACGCTTGCCTTGCAGCCTCCTTGGTAATCAGTGCATGAGTATAGAAGTTCATCCACTACCAGTAGAGTACTTCTGAGAAGAAGTAGAATGAGAACATCGAACAACAGGTTTTGAATGACTCCAGTTTATTGTAAACAAATTCCTATATTTGATAGATTTTTCCCTGTACCCATTTATACTCTGCATAACACTAAGCATAACTGGATGTAGTTATGGAAATTTTCCATACAAGCAGTAATGGCAGGGTCAACACATCAGATACAACATACCCTATCGTTGTTCTCTATGAGCATGTACAGCTCAGTGAGGACGGAGCCAGAATTCCAGGAAACTACTTTGCAGGTAGAGGATGTTCTAAAACTAACTAACACTAGCATTGCTTCAACTTCAGTGGAGCGTACCTCAAACAGAATGCAATTAAACTTCGTCCCTCTAGCATTGAACTGTAATGCAAACATTTTTACAGGGTCTATACAGAAGTGACTGCAGCCATATATTTCTTCCAGGTATATGGTCATAGGCCTGGTTGTATCAACAGAGGTTAAAATCTACAGACAAGTGAAATGAATGGAAATCTCTAGCACAAATAGAACTCTGTATAGGTGGAATCATCCAGAAATACTTAGATCTTTCTCACCTTCCTAGCAGAGGTTAATAATCATCTATGAATGAAAACCATTCATAGACAGTTCTGGAGTTGGCCACTACACATGGACCAGTCCCTGGCCATGATTAAGCTGTGCATGTCCCTGTTCATTGCAGAGGAGCTGGACTTACTGGCCTTTGAAGATCCCTTCCAACAAAGGATTCTATGATTGTATGACTCTGAAACAAACTCTGATCAAATAAAGAGACTGAATTAACACTTTAACAAATGGTCATAAGTTATTGTGTTTGAGGTGTAAGCAGGACAGAGAGATCAATGAGAATGTCATGCAGGAGATCCAATTATCTTTGGATTTAATCAGAACAGTATCATAATCTTTCCCTGCTAGTGAGAACTTCTGTTGAAAGTGGTAGTAGTAGTACATTCCAATGTTAAGTCTCCAACCCAGAAGGATATGGTGAGATTAAAGTGGTATTTCTAGGCTAGAAGGTAAGGTGAGAGTCCTCCTCAGTAAAGCAAAGTAAGAATAAATAAAACATAATAAAACCAAATAAAGAAATCCCAAACAAAAATCATCTCAGCTACACTACAATGGGCAGAATTATCAGTGCTTCCTTATGCCTCAGGGCCATGGAAATCAGGAGAAATCTCAAATTCAAGTAAAGGAGTCACTGGAAATCTGAGAAGACAGCTAGGTATTGTGCAGTCAGTAATCAGGATTGAAAGATTCAGGAATTGCATCACAGGAAGTATTGTGTAATAACAAACCTGCACACAACACAGAAATTTTACGCGCTGAGACAGTCAGTTAAGTGTCAATTGTACAGTCAGAATTTCCATGATCTGGAAGGTGTTCTATGAAAAGACTACTCTGGACACAACTAATTAATAAGAACTCCATGGGAGCAAACTGTCATTTGATCAAAATCAGTTGCTGTACAGCTGGCTAGTCTGATAGCTCCTTCTTTAGCCTTCTGCCTAGAAAATACAGAAAGTCTGTTCTGTATCTGTTGGATTGCAACCTCTCCAAATACAGCTGTGAGATCTTCTTTTGCTGTGGAAAAAATTAAAACAAATTTTATATTAGTAATAGTACTGACTAGCTGTGAAATAAGAGATAGTGATATACTAGTTATATACTCTGACATCTACATGAATGTATGCATCTTGAAGTAAACAGGCATAAATCAGTTCCATCTTTGAAAAAGGACTAATTAAGACTACAGTTACTCCCCTGATTCTGGATGTAAAAATGAAACTATTGAACTTTTTTGAAGTACCAGAGATACCATTGACCTCAGTTCCTCCTTGACACACACACACACACACACACAACAAAGATTCAAGGAACAAAACAAGAGTATGCTCAAATGACTAAGATGAAGACTAACATCAGGGAAGTCCATAAATCATAGAAGTCAGATGCTAGTGTATGCCCAAGACAAGCTGTTAAGGAAAAGATGGCACAATACTGACAAAAATTCAGGACCAGAAGCCATTAAAAAAAAGAAAATGAACAGAAGTCTGAAGTTAGCTGCAACCAGAAATGAGAATGAGCTGCAAAGACTAGAAAACCAAATTCTTTTTGATGAGAATTCAGGGCCAGACCTCAGCAGGCCTGACATATTAGGATCTCAGTTGCTATGGGAACCAGGCTATTAGCTATTCAGCTGACCATAACCTGACAGAGCTGCACAATGGGGTACAATCTTTTCCACAGTAACAAGCAGTAGCATTAATGAAGGTCTCAAAATAATTGAATTGTTACCAAAGCCATTGTGGATTCCTACCCTGATTTTGAGTGTATGCCTAGGTCAAAAGTATGAACAAAAACTCTAACTTCTTCCTTGTGACTTTTCTTCTTCCATAATTTTCTTTCTCTGTAAAAACACCTAGGCAGCAGATGGCAGAATCAGAGTCCTTCAATCCTTCAACACACAACATTTATTTTTAGCTGTTCCAAAGTTAGAGATGAACTATCAAAATGCTTTATGGATAATACTGAAGACTGTGACTCAATGGTGACAAAATAACCCAAAGCTGAGATGACCTATGTATATTTGTATAGGTAGGTACAAATCTGAGAAGTCACTAAAGCAGTTTCTATAACATTTAAGGCAGTCTGAAAAGAGGTCTGGACTCTGCAAAAGCAATTACTGTCTTCCATAAGTCCAAGGGAAAATAGAAGACACAAAGAAAGTTGGCAGTTTGCCTGAGAAGTTACTGAGTTATTAAGATATCTGCCATGCTCTTGGCCATTTGGGATTCTTTTGGATAAAATAGAATAATTTTGTGTGCTCATTAACAAGAATTGCACGACAGGCGAATAAACAAGAGGAAAGGAAAAGAAGACCTCCCCAAGACCTGGTCTGCTTCATCAGTTCTTCTAACTGCAGGAGTATATGAATCCAGAGAACACTAAAAAACCTTCACGGGATTCAAAATGGGCCTATTAATTTTTCCCTAAGAGAAATGAGAATTTTAAAAAGCTTACTTCAAAAAATTTTGCAACTTCTGGTCATCCAGTAAAATACTGGGATGATTTCATCCCCGAAGAAGGAGGAAAAGCAGCTTTGGTGGCACAAGGATAATGTGATGTGACAAAAAGACAAAAATACCTGAGCCTTCAAACATGTCAACAACAAAAGATAACAAACATATCACAGGGTAAACAAGATCATTATTCCTGTGAGCCCTCTTGCTGGAAGAGTGCAAGGTGTTTGCTGTTTGCCAGTCAAATGACAACAAGAACCTAGAAGATACTGCTATTGTCAACTGCAGAACACAGAACCACTACAGCTGGACAGGTACAAAAATAATACCTTATCAGGTTGTCTCTGTTTAGGCCTTCCCTCCATCTCTACTTGGAGAAATCTGGAAAGAAGAAGATATCTATATCTTGGGCTGATGTCATCTTTTCATGTTAAGAAAACAGTAGTAGGCTGCTAAGTATATGCATTTGCACGCCAGAAGGAAAAGGTCCTGAATAGGAAAAGGCTTGCAGTCTTAGGTAGTCAGAGAACATGCTTACTAAAAAGATAGATTTGCAGTAATGAAACAAAATTACAGAAGCCTGAAATACAAAAGAGACTGTTATAGTTACACCTAGTTACAAAAATGTACTTTGACTGCTTCAATGTATCAAATAGTTTCCACATCTTTTCTCTCTGCTCAGCGAGAATTTCATGCTAACAACTTCATTTCACTAGTAGGGAAGTTAATTTTGAGTAAGTTCCTCAACATAGTTCATAGTACAGCAGTAAGAATACTTTAAATCAGTACAAAGAAAGTACAGTATAATGGAGAAATACCTGACCAGATATGAACACAAGGCAAGAATGATTTTTCACCAGTACTGCCAGTTTGCAGTGCTTGTGAAACTGCACTCTAAGATCCTGATGGGCATTTTCAACATATGCCTCTTCATTATAGTCTTTGAAAACAAGGTAGGCATTTAGTAATTCCCACAGTACTGTGCACAAGGTTTTATACCCTTTTTCCTATCTGCAAAATGAACCTTACCAAATTTCTCATCATATAAAGAGCAGACCAAGAAGCATAGAATTAGAGCTCCGTAATGGCTGGACTGGCATAGCACTTTTTTGTGTGGTTGTTCCACACCATCTGTAGTATATTGGGTCTTTGTTTGTTTGTTTGTTTATTTGGTGTTTTTTTTTTTTAATTCAAAATTTAATTTAAAAAAGTCAGTTTCAGACTTAGCATATGTATACCCATAACATAAACATGCATACAGATTCTTGTTTTATGTTTGTCATAGGGACTTCTCACTGAGATGCACTGAGGATCCCAACTGCTGTCCAGATAATCTCTTGAGATAGCTCTGCCGTCTGCTGGAGGTCCAAATGTGGGACATCAATAAGAGGCTACCAATTCTGATAAAGCCAGAATACTATGATGCAATTACAAAACTATGATCTGCCTGCTATCACGAAAACAAGATGGGGTGAATCACACAACTGGAATAGGATGATCAAAGCCTACAAGCTTTTTGGAAGAGATAGAAAGGGCAGGAGGGGCAAAGGAGTTGCCCTATATGTTAAGAAGTGGATAGACCATGAAGAGCTGTCTCTGAGAAACAGCCACATTCAGCTTGAGAGCATTTAGGTTAAAATTAGGGACCAGACCAATAAAGGACATCTGGTGGTCAGGGTCTACTACATGCTGCCTGATCAAGAGGAGCCTGCTGATGGGGCTTTCTTGCACCATTTACAATGGATTTCGTGCTCATAACCTCTCAGCCTGATGGGGGATTTCAATCACCCAGCTGTCTGCTGGAAAAGCAACACAGCAGGCTGCAAATAATACAGAAGACTCCTGGAGTCTGCTGAGGATAGCTTCATAGTCTGTCCAATACCTGGACCAACAAGAGGTGAAGTGTTATTGGACCTGGTTCTCACCAATACAGAGGAGATAATTAAAGAGGTTCAGATAGGAGGCAATCTGGACTACAGCAACCATGCTGTGGTTGAGTTAGTGATCTCAAGGAACATGGGTCTGGTCAGAAGTAGGGTCAGAATCTTGAGCTTCAGAAGATAAAAATTCCATCTGTTTAAGGAATTGTTGGATGAGATCCTTCGGAAAACTGTCCTTAGGGACATAAGAACAGATAAAAGGGGGGTACTTCTCAAAGGACAGCAGAAGATATGGGAAACTGACATGGCTGAGTAAGGACCTGCTTGGCAAATTAAGGGAAAAGAAGAAAATGTACAGGCAGTAGAAATGGGGATGAATGGCCTGGGAAGAATATAGGGATGCTGTCCAGACATGCAGAGATGGAATCAGGAAAGCCAAGGTGCAGATCAACTGAACTTATTGAGAGATGTGAAAAATAACAGGAGATTCTACATATATATTGGTCAAAGAGAAAGGCAAAGAAGATTGTACTTCCTCTATTAAATGAGAAGGTAGAACTGCCTTCCACAGACATCGAGAAGGCTGAGGTACTCAACAAGTTCTTTGCCTCAGTCTTTACTGCTAGTTTAACTTCCCATAACTCAATGTCTCTTGAGTTACTCGGTCTTCAGGCAGAAGGTGCAGGAGTAAAATCCCTATTGCTATAAGCATAGAGCAAGTTCAAGACCACTGTGAGACTGATTGATGTTGTACAAGTCTATAAGGCCTGACAACATGCATCCCAGGGTTGTAAAGAAACGGAATGATGTAGTTGCCAAGCCATTCTCCATCATATCTGAAAAGTCATGGCCGTTGGGAGAAGTTCCTGGTGGCAGAAGAAAGAGAAATATCACTCCCATTCTAAAGAAAGGGAGCAAGAAAGACCTGGGGAACTACAGGCCTGTCAGTCTCACATCTGTACTTGTGGAGATCATGGAATAGGTCCTCCTGGAAGCTGTGTTAAGGCATATGCATTCAGGACAGCATAAGGACATGTTATCATGCATGATCAGCCTGGTGGCCTTCTATGATGGAGTGACAGTATTGGTGGACAAAGGAAAGGCAACTGATATAATCCACCTGGACTTCTGCCTTTGATATGGTCCTACATCACATCCTTATCTATAAATTGGAAAGAAATGAATTTGAAAGGCGGACTTTTTGATGGATAAAGAATTGGTTGGAAGGTCACAGCCAGATGGTTGTGGTCATTAAACCTATGTCCAAGTGGAGACCAGTGACAAGTTATGTCCCCCAGAGGTCCATCTAGGTACAGGTGCTCTTCAACTTCTTTATCAATGATCTGGATAGTGATATTGAGCACACTCTCAGCAAGTCTGCTTATGGCACCAAGCTGAGTGGTGCAGTGGCTTCTAGAAAGGCTTGGAAAGAGGGCCCATGAGAACCTATTGAGACTGAACAAGACCAAATGTAAGGTGTTGGGTTCGACTTGGGTAAGAGCAATCTCAGATATGCGTACAGGGAGAAGAACTCACTGGGAACAGCCCTGTGGAGAAGGACTTGGATTTCCTTGTGGACAAAAAGTTGTACATGAGCCAGCAGTGTGCACTCAGAGCCCAGAAGGTCAACTGTATCCCAGCCTGCATCAAAAGAGATATGGCCAGCAGGGTGAGGAGTTGATTATCCCACTCTGCTCTACCCGACTGCATTCGGGAGTAGGTCCCCCAGCACAAGATGTGGAGTTGTTGGAGCAGGTCCAGAGGAAGGCCACAAAGATGATCCGAGGACTGCAGCACCTCTCCTATAAAGAAAGGCTGAGAAAACTTTGCTTGTTAATCCTGAGGAAAAGAAGGCCCCAGGAAGATCTCACATTCCAGTACCTGATGGGAGCTTATATACAGGCCGGAGACTGACTTTTTACATGGTCTGATAATGACAGAACAAGGGGGAATGCCTTTAAAGTAAAAGAGGGGATATTTAAATGAAAGATTCAGATGAAATTTTTTACTCAGAGAGTGGTGAGGCGCTGGAGCAGATTGCTCAGAGAACTTGTGGACTCCCCATTTCTGGAGGTGTTCAAGACCAGGTCACGTTTTGATGCATAACTTAAATAAACCCAACATGCCTATGATATAGGTGAAGTTTTCTACCCATGGATAGAGTATTCTGTGATGAGTCTTTTTCCCCTTCTTCTCTGAGACATACTTCCTCACCAGCTTACAAGCCTAATGGGATATAGACACATACTCATGTCAATTAAATCAAAGAACAAAATCTGGGTACTTGAGAAGAATGGAGAGAGGAGTCTTTATTTAGTACTTAATCACTGATGTTTGGGCACTTTGCGAACATATGGAGTTCGACGGAAAGGGAACTCCTTCATATTCACTTCACAGCATAGCTGAGGTTGGCAAAGACTTCTGAGTCTACCTGGTCCAACTCCTACTCAAGCTGATTCACCCAGAGCAGGTTCTTCAGGACCATGTTCAAGTGGCTTTTGAAATTCTCCAAGGAGAAGATTCTACAACATCTCTGAACAACTTGGGTCAGTGCTCTGTCACCCAATATAAAAAGAAGTGATGTTTAGACAGAATTTCTTGTGTTGAAGTTAGAGCCCACTGCCTCATGTCCTGGCATTGGTCACCACTGAAAAAAAAAACACGCTCAGTCCTCTTTGCACCCTCCCTTATACTCCATTATACTGTAAAAGATAAGATTGATTGTTAAGATCCCTCCACGCCTTCTCCAGGCTGAACAGTCTTAGCTTTCTGAGATTTTCCTCACAGGAGATAGGCTCCAGTTCCTTAACCATTTTTGTGGCCCTACATAGGACTCCTTCCAGTATGTCCATTCCTCTCTTATACTGGGAGACCCAGCACTAGACACAGTACTTCATATATGGCCTCATCAGTGATGATTGGAGAGGAAGGGAAACTTCTCTTCACCTGCTGGCAATACTTTGTTTAATGTAGCCCTGGATACCATTAAACTTCTTAACAGCAAGCATTTACACTTGATGGCCACCAGGACCCACTGGTCCTTTTCTGCAGAGCTGCTTTCCATCTAGGTAACTTGTAGTATGTCCTGATGCCAGGGGTTGTACCTTTCCAGGTGCAGGACTCTGCATATCTCTTGGCCTTCATGAGATTCTTGTCAGCTCACCTCTCCAATATGTTGAGATCCCTCTGGATGGCAACATAGCCCACTGGTGAATTCATCACTCTCTCATTTTGTGTCATCTGCATACTTGCTGAGGATACACTCTGCCCCATTCCTACTTAGAAGAAACAATGATGATACAGCACTGCTTAAACAGAGGGATGGACAAGATGACCTCCAGAGGCCCCTTTCAACCTCAGTTTTCTATGATCCTATGATATCAGGTCAGCAGTGAATTCTACAACTGTACTGAAAACCACTTCATCTTTCATTACAGCTGAAATCAGAAACCTTCAAGGAGAACCTTAAATTTATCATGACAGAAAAATAATTACAGTTGGCAAACTGAAGGATTCCAGAACGTCATGGGACATGTCCATTACAGCAGATCTGGACAGAAAGTCTTCAGAAAGGGTGCTTTACTAATAAATGATATTTACAACAGCTTCTAGTTGCATACTATACAAGATCATTCAGGCAAGTCAGACTACTGCAGAACAAGTCCCCAGCAGTGTGCAAAGCTCCTCTTCTCCATTTTAAACTTACTAAGCAGTCACACAGACAGATCACTGAAGAAGATACAATGTGAGTGTACACAGTTGGCTTTCTTATTCCCTTATAAACCGTCTCTCAGAAAAGACCATGGTTTTGTTCCCTTGTCTTGGTAGTTAAAATCATCCTGAAATCCACTCTGGGAACCAATTAGTTCCCTAAAACTGCCAGTACCAATGTCTGGTCATCATCCTCATTTGCTTATCTATTCTGAGAAAAATGGACCACTTCGCTCATTGTCAATGGAATTGTCTCTTAGCACAGAAGTCACCTCTAGAACTCATACCACATACATTTCCAATACTATTTCACATTTTTTCTCTCATCATCTCTACTTTCCATGAGCCTCAGAGGAGCTTCTTAACCAAATGTAAGTATTCTTTGGTACAAATCTTTCACTTCTGTTAACACACAGGAAGATGCACAGGTCACAGGGGGCAGGATCAACTTAACACACTGCTGGCCATGCAGTTGTATGAATTTCATTTACTTAGTTCAAGGGATGTTGAGTGGCAGTTATTTCTAAATCCACCAGGGAAAGCCTGAGATACAGTTCAGTCTTATGTCTGGCAGGTCAAAGAGGGATCTGAAGACTACCCTTACCTTCCCTAGGAAATGCTTGCGGTATAGCTTGGCTGTGGGGTCACTCTCCAGTTTCACCTTAACACTCCAGGGAAAGGGTACATCAGAGAGAGTTGGACTGGAGAGGTTGTGGCTTGTCCCTTCAATCCAGTAGCCCCCAAACTGGGGTAAGATAATGAGAGGATATGGCCACCCTTTCTGTAATACCTGTTTGGAAGGACATGAGGAGAACATGAAAGCTGAAAGGTCAATAGCCAAAAAGGCCAGTAGGCTGAAAATTCAAGGGAAAAATCAGAGAAGAGTAGTACAGACTCACCTCATGGATGCTCGGGTAAGGAATATACTCTTCTTCTGTCTGAAATCAGAAGAGAATGTTAGCAAAAATTAGCAAAAGTGTGGGAGATCTTTTAAATTCTTTTCCTCTCATGATAGCACAAACTGTATCTTTAGCTTCTGCTCTGCCCTAGTCCACCTTTAGAGTTTTATTTTAGAATTTTAAGTTGGACTTTCTTTCCCAGGTCTCAGCATTGTAATATAAAACTTTGAGAACAAAAATCCATAAAAGCTAATTTTAAAGTCAACATGCTTGAGCTAGAACAGAAAAAAAATGAGAGGAAAAGTTTAAGGATAAAAATCTGTTTTTATTGGCCTAAAATTGAGGGAAGCACATCAGCTTTCTTGTAGCATCACAGTCTTCAAGCAGACAATTGAAATAAATGCATTGTGTTTTCATAAATATTATTAAGGGTCTTACAATGAAAAAAATTGAATCAATTATTTTGTCAAAACTAGGATTTTTAATAATATTAAACATTTATTGGAGTAACTTAAATCAGAAAAAGGAAAATACTGTCTTTCACGTACACACTAACACCTCTCACAGCTAATTAAAATGAGTGTTTTTAAGCTCCCTATTCACTTCACACTGAAAATGCAGTTCCAGCCTGGTCAGTAATCATCTGTCATTATCAATAACTTAGGAGGCAACAATGACTGAGCCTGACCTTGAGAGGAGCTGGAAGGGAACATCTTTGTTCATCCAGACGACTCCCCTGGAAACAGAAAGTCATGGACAGTGAATCCTGTGTTTCAGCAAGTTTGTTTCATTTACCCTCTGCATTCTTCTCCATATTCTCAACTTGTATGTTTTTGTTCTTTATAATCTTCTGTTTTAAGCAAATTGGGAAGTTTGGAATAAGCAGGAGGAGTGAAGATGGAACTTGGCCAGGCTATTCCTAATTTGGCATTAAAACTCAAAAGCCTTACAATTCCTTAAAAGCAGAAAGCTGGCAGAAATGAAAATAATTATCCCAAAGGAATTCTGTTATATATTTTTCCAGTCTCTTTAAGCTACTCTACTTCTTATTCAAACAATAAATGAACAAAGATTTATTGATAGAAAAAAGTATTCATAGAATAGTATTTCAGACTTTTTCTCACAGTTTTAGAAGATATCTCCCTTGATGATACCATACCATCAGGCAGAGCAAAAAAGTTCAGAGAAAGTTTAAGAAAAGTAAGAAATTTTTGAGTATTAGGCAAGACTTCGGAAAGTTTATATGCCTTCCTTCCATTCACATAATGGAATAAATCTGTCTCTTGGAGGCAAAAGAGAAAATGAGAATCACTTTCCATGCTTACATCTGATTAGTGCAAAGAGCTTTATGGCACAGTCCTGCTTATCTCCTTTACTTGTTAGGCAACATTAACTGGGCATATGCAACCGGATGCCTAGTTTCTTGCTCTGTCAGTAAATGCCTTTCTTATCGAAGGCTATTTCATTCTCTGCCTTCTCACTATGGCAAGAGTTTGCTCACTTCCAACACACTTCTGCAGCAGAAACACAGTAACAGAAACATCAGTCATGAGAACCCTCAGTGCTGACTAAGCAGAGGTTGAGAACAAAAGAAGTCAAAAAGACATGGGAACCTATGCTGATATTAGTCCAAGTAGGCATAAGTACAGAGAGACAAGATGCATAATTTGCACAGACAGATAGGAAGCCAAAGATCAGGACTGGAGCTTTCTCTGACACAATGTATGTAAGAATTAATAATTAATTACTGACATCAGTATCCTCCAACTCTCATACAGGAATGTGATGCTGTGACTGTATTGTTTTACACCTTCAGTGACAGCTTAATGTAATGGTTAATGGACAGGATAAGCAGCTCCTGACCTTCATTCTGACAATAAGAAGAATCTCATTCATAACAGCCACGTCTATGTGAGCATTTTACAGTGAAACAATCTTATAAATGTATCTGATAGAAATATACAAATCTGAAATAACCTTTCTACTTTACATACAGTAAAAATGTAAGATACTTAAGGGCAAAAGTTTGAGGACAGTGTTCCACTCCTATAAGGTGAAAAGACCTGCCAGCAGAACAATAGTGTTAACACTGAGCAATAGCAGTACTAACATTGAGTATTAATAAGGATCAGGATGCTTTTTTTTCTTTTCCTTTGCTATTTCTGAAAGAAAAAGACATCCATTATACATTAAAACAAACAAACAAAAACAAACAAACAAACAAAAAGCCCACTTAGGTTTAAAAAAGAAAGAAAGAAAAAAAGAAAGAAAAATGACCTGATGAGTTGTGAAATCAAAATGGAATAGGGCTGAAGTAAACTTTACCTTTGTATGGAGGTAGTAATAGCCATTTTGTATTTGGGCAGGTCATGAAAGTGTACACAGAGTACACAAAGTGCAAACAGGTGTTCAGTTAATGTGACCTGGAGTTTTACTTGTCAGTGTACTTGGCTGAGACTTAGGAGAAAGGCTAGGTTCTGAAGTAGGTGTCTCTGGAACAGAATTTTGGGGCAAGAAAAGACTATGTTCTGTCAAAATAAGGTTGAGACATGAGAGACACAGAAGTGCAAGGCAGCCCCAATTTCCTGGAACAAACTGCGGAAAGTATGGGGACAAGCTTTCTGTGCACTGGGGGATTTTTGCATGTGGAAATGGAGTCTGGGAAACTGCAATGTTGCAAGGTCTCTCTTCTTCTGTCAAGAATGCCAAAGATCTGATAACTGCAAAAGGTTTCCTTTTTCAAAGGAGGTCCTAGTGGATGACCAGTATCTCAGCCTGAGGGAAAACATCTTGAGATGCTATAAGTCAGTGTATTAGAGTTTCTGCAGAGAAGAGAAAGAACATGCCAGCACATTCCATGCTAGACTGCCCATAGTTAAAGGAGCTCCTCTTAACAATCACTTCTCTAGAGCAAAGATCCAATGTAGCTCAGGTTGTATAGTGCAAAACCTTATTTTAGTACAAAATAAAAGACAGGAATTATGTATCATCCTACGTGTTACATTAGATCACAGTTAACCATAGTATTATAAAGAAATGTTAACAATCAGATAGAGTATTGGCAGACTGTAAGGATGCTCTGAGAACATATAATCTGAAAAAAAAAAAAAGCTTTAAAAATTCAGTTCTAGATATATAAACTATTATTATTATACTATCACTTCATTTGGCAGAGGAAAGATGTTTTTCCCTTTTGTATTTCATTTCACATTGCAGTGCATACATCTGAATGCACGCTTTTTAATAAAAGAATTAAGCCAGTCTTCCTTGCTTGTGCAAGTTAAAGCTGACCTTGCTTAATGCAGTTATGTTAACACATGTAAATGTCCTACTAATCACCTGTCATTAGCATCTGCTACCCAGCAAAAAGTTTCTTGAAGATTTTGAAGACTGTGCCAGAAATCCCTTCATGCAACTTTGATTTTCTCTCAAAATCATAATTCTGAAAAGAACACTCTTTTATATAGTGTATACAGTGTATATAATGTGTATAGCTCTTCCATCATGCAAGTTCTAGAAATGAACACAGGAAAATAGTTTCGAGACTTCATACAGAAGCTTGGACCTAGAAAACCAGATATTCTTCAAGTCTAAATTGAAGGTTGTTGGGATTGAAATGACAAGAGAAAGAGCAGCAGATGGTTTGGCTAAAAAAAAAAAAAAAAAAAAAAAAAAGTGTCCAAAGTTTGACAGAACAATTTCTCATTACCTGCATTTTTTCAATCATCTCAAACAAGTCCACAGTCTGTGGGGAAAAAAAAAAAAAGGACAACAGGGAAAATAATTTAACACTTGCAAAAGTTAATGTTATCTTCTGTGGTAAAACAGATACTAATCCAGCATCTCTTTCCATGTTTACATACAAACTATTTATTTTCTTACTGAAGACAAGAAGGAATCTTTCTGCATTTACTGATAGCAAGGACAATACAACTCTAAATAGTTTTCAGCTTACATTGCAAAAGTTTGACCTGCAACCTGATAGGACGGGAGTCAGGAATTCATATTTGTGAATGGGTTAAACTACAGGCCTGATACAATATACAGTAAAAAGTGATTAAACAAACAAGCTTAGGATTTTTATACAGAAGTGGACAATTATAGGTGTAACACAAGCACGCACACAAGCTTGCCTTCTGTCATTTCTTCTGCTCAGTAGTCCAATGCACATTCCAACCCTGAGAAAAAGGAATGTAAACTGCCTTTACCTTGTTGGGAGCAGCAAAAGCAAGAGTAGATGGAATGCCTTGGATAGGAGAGTCTATAACATTACTGACACAACACACTCCCTCCTCAGAACTCCTGTGAGAGACAAAAGGCAAAACAAAAACTTCTAACTCTTGTCAAACACAAGATACAAGCACTTGCCAGTGATACTTTCCTTGCCTTCTGCTCTTTTTAGCTTCTTTCCAGACCATTTCTTGTCCAGGAGAAGCTACCATTCCCTGTCAGTTTATTTATAACCTGCAAAGTTCCTGAATAAATCAGCAAAAAAAGGCAAAGTGAAACTAGCACCGATGTGGCTGGAAACAAACCCTAGGTTTCACATGCAATACAGGACCAAAGCACTTTGTAACTCAGTCACAGAAATGTTTGTTATGTAATCATGCGTCATGATCATGAATTGTTATCCCCCAGGTCTTAGATGCATGATCCTTACTACCATTTAGAGATCAGTATCTGGAAGTGGCAAAGACTCTTGCCTTGAAACAAGTGTCCGTATTTCCTACTGTACGTAAGAACTGCTTTATGTGATTACAAAGTTATGCTCTCATTACAGGCTTCAAGTATCTCTATGCTCCTCAATTCTCTGACAATTCACAATGTATTTTGGTAATCCACTTGTGTCATGTAACTTGTATATAGTCTCGATCTTGATTACAGAGTAATGCAAACCTTCCATCCATACTTTTTTCCTAACACTGAAATGAGAGAGCTATGCTATACATCTAAAGATTAAACTATTATGGGAGGAAAGACCGAGAAGTTAGCCTCAACATACCCAAATAAATACAGTAATATTAAATGACAAATGTATTTAAAATTAATATTAATTTCACTATTAATTTCATTTCATTCATAGTATTATTAAATATTAATACTATCTATCCATGTGCTTTATTTATCACTTCTATTCATATAGTTATAGCACACCTAGGAATAACAAAATACACATCCAAGGCAGCATATGTAACATGTTCATTACTTGTTTTGGAAACCTGAAGGCTCTGTTCTGTAATACCTAAAAACTAACAGCTAAATCTGAAAATTTCTAATTTTCAGGAACTAGTCATAACCAGAGAAATCTAACAGTAGATCTTACATGCAAATGGATGCCATGGAGCCTTGCTGGATGCTATAGTGTTTTTCTTTTCCGTGCCACTGTTTTGACTCCTGAATCATTCAGTAAGGAGTAAGTTACATACCTATAACATAAAAATTTGGCAGATTTTGCATGAGGTCAGTGACCTGCTCCTGTTCTCCTGCCATAAATTCACCTCCATATTTTGGGCTGACTAAAGTATTACTCAGAGGAACTGCTCCTTACCATTCAATCCTTGCACAGTTCTAATGTCAAAATGCAGCAGATGCCACGATTACAGGCCTTACCATGCACTTAGAGATACTATCAGTTCTCCAAATATCTCAGGAACGTATGGAGGAACTCTAAAAATCCAGAAGAATGATTTAGAATTGATGCTACCTTTCAAAGAATATCTCAAAACTTCAGGGCTATTGTTACTATCGCTTGAACGTTCAAGTAAATGTTGGACACTGACAATAAATTACTTGCACTGTAGTCTCTAGAACAAAGCCCACGTGTGTAATTACAAAGCAGAAATATCACTGTCAGAGAGCAGAACACCGTTTCTGAAAAATAAGAATAATTCTGCAGGTTGGGAGAGCAAATAATTACACAATATGTACAATGAAATGCATTTTTGCTGAAACTTTAATTTTATGAAAAGGCAGTAAGGGGAAGCAGAGGCTATGGAACAGACTAAAGGCTAGAACACGATTTTATTAGTGACAATAACCAATGTGTTAACTTCAAGGAATTATCTGAACTAAGAGTAGGCCTTCCACTTGGGTCACAGTAACCCCAAGTATCAATACAACCTGAGGATGAAAGGGTAGAGCACAGCTCTACTGAACAAGGTTTTGGGGGTACTAATGGATGGCAAACTGGATACAAGCCAGTAATGTGCACTTGTATCCCAAAAGCCAACCATATCATGGGCTGCATCAAAAAAAGCATGGTCAGCAGATCAAGGGAAGCGATCTGGCCACTCTATATTATGCTGGTGAGACCTCACCTGGCGTGCTGTGTCTAAACATGGAATCCTCAGTATAGAACAGATATGGGCCTATTGGGGCATGTCCAGAGGAAGGCCACAAAAATGATCCAAGGGATGGAACACCTCCCCTACAAGGACAGGCTGAGAGGGATGGGGCTTAAACTAAAAAAGGGGAGATTTAGAAAAAAAAGTTTTTTTACAACAAGGGTAGTAAAGCACTGGAACCAAATACCCAGAGAACTGGTGGATGGATGTCCCATCCCTGGAGACATTCAAGGTCAGGTTGGACGGGGCTCTGAGTCACCTGATCTATCTGTAGACATCCCTGTTCATTGCAGGGGAGTTACACTAGATGACTTTTAAAGGTTCCTTCTAACTCAAATGACTCTACAATTCTATTCCACTGCTAAAGACTCAATTCTGAAATGGTGCAAGAAGAACCTCTGCAGACTTCTAAGCTAGTAACTCCACACACACAACTCTGCTAATGCCCTTTGCTCCTGTCTTGCAGCATCCTCTGCTATTTCAGTCCCAGGATCCCCATACAGATCTATAAAAATAGTTTCTACCTATTATAACTAAGTCAGATCAACAACAAATTCTATGCTATTATTTGTTCTGAAAGAAACAAAAATTGGCTTCAGTGGGTTTAATAAAGCCTTTCATCTATGTGGTAAAGTCTCACCCTGCTTCCTTTCATGAACAGGAGCACCTCGGCCAACCCCTCTCACCTTCCCGGAGCCACAAAAGGACACCAGGCACGAGGGCACCACAGCAGTCGCACACCCGGCTCACAGAGGGGCTCGCTTCGAAGCTGGACTTCCCAGCTCAGATCACGACACACACTTCTCACCTCATCAGCTCCCCTCCTTTTCAGTCAGTCTACAAGAGCTCCTCTAGCCACTCCCACTGCAAAGCAGTCATCGCGGGGCAGGGTCCCATGCCAGCCTTACACCCGACACCCTCTCAGCTGTTCCCCCACCCCGTCCCCAGGCTGCAGGCTGCAATGCAAACTGCCCAGGGAGAGCCGCTCAGTGTCCGTACGTACCCTCCGTCGGCCCCAACGGGAGAAGCATGCTTTCGGGAAAACATGCCGGAATGGCTAAGGCAGCTCCCCTCTGTCCTCCTCAGGAGCTTCCTCTCCTCCCACCTCAGCACGGAAAAGGGCACAGGCTCCCTCCCTCCCTCGATTTCCCAAGCCAGTCTTCAAAGGAGAGACAGCAAAGAGCACCTCACAGCTGGGACGAGGCCCCAGCTGTGGGGCAGGAAGCTCCTGGGAAGATGGACATGGCATAGAGAGATAGAAAAGGAGGAGGAGGCAAGGAGAAAGAGAAGAAAACAGAGGATGGAGTGATGGCTCCTGCCTTTCTTTTGCTGTGGAAAATCAGTATAATCATTCTACCTAGATTCCACCTCTCTAGAGGATCCATATCTCCCTTATAGGACAGCTGAATCCAAGCGGCTGACTCCAGGTTGCTAATGACTGTAAAACACGCAGTATTAAACAGGGACACCTGAAGAATCCCTTATTCAACTCTTCTGCAGGGTAACTTCTATTCACAAGGTTCCTTTTTGTATGCAGTGGAAAAAGTGAGCAACAAGGAAATCCTCCACAACTTCCTATTTGCTTCAAGGGAATACTAAAAGGATACCAACCTCACTACCTTTGGTCTTAGGAGCTGATGTATATCAAATAATACAGAGATTTGACATTATTCTTCGTATGAAATAACTGGATGCTGTCACATGTAAGCAATTCACTCTCTAGCGGAGCTCAAATCTGCGGGTCAGAAACCCCATAAATACAAGAATTTGCATTTACTTGTGGCATGGTTAGATTGCCGCTCCTAATAAAAACTGAGGATGTAAAGATGAGTTCCATGTGTAGGCTACCAGTACTAACTACTGCCCTCCCTAATAGCATAGTCATTAGCAGCAGCAACAGCAAGACTGGATACGCTGAAAGCAAAGTACACAGAGAGGCCCAGGTCTTTCTGACATCCTTCAGAAGCTTAAAACTAACTTTGTTCACACTCTAGGCTCAGCTTTCATTTGACAACCTCACAGGTTTACCTAACCTCCTGTACAACTGCAGTTGTGCACAGAGCCCTCAAAATCCGGAAGCAAATCAGCAAACAGTTATCATATGCTTTAATTGCTGTTCTAAGTAGCATCCTTTAATACTAGCCACATGAATAAATCACTTTCACATGTAAGCGAATCACAAGCCCTCTTACCCCTTTCTGTTCCTCAACTTACAATCAAGCTAACAATTGTTGCTGTTCATGCAGCTGATACAACAGTATCACCGAATATAAGCTTTTAGTTGTATTAAGTAGACTCAGCTCATACTGACAGTTGCATTCTTACATGAATTCTGCATATTTATAGTCTAATAATACATACATTTATCTAATTTGCATGAGTCATTCTGCATTCTATAATTTTGTTGTGGTTTTTTGTTTGTTGTTTTTTTTTGAGAGACTAGCACACAAGCTTCTATTCTTTTAGGTATCCTTGTAGGTATGTTAATACACGTATTTCAATAACCAGCATCTACAGCTCTTGCTACATATTTTCCTCATTTTTATTAACAGACTTTTTTTATAACTGCACTAGCATTTTATGCAGCTCACATAGGAAAAGTCTGGATTAGAACATTGAACCTGATCTCTGCAGTTTTATCAATTATGTGAGTCATTCTAGGAACATTAGAAGCTCCACGGAAGCTACGCAGTACCAGCATATTCTTCAATAGTAAACTCTACAGAGCAGAAACTCTTTTTTTTTTTTTCCCCCTGTATTTATTACTGCAATATTACATTCCGTCATCTCAAGTTCATAGACAGAAACACGTATGTTCTCACACCAGATGTTTCCACAGATGTATGCACACAGCTTCTAAATAGCATACTGGATAGAAACACAGCACCTCCCACAACCCGCTTGAATTCATTATTCTACGCCAAAGGTTGACAGAATGAGAGCAGATTCTCTTTGAGTCTTGACAGACCCTCTTTCATGCCCCTCCATCTCTTCAGTTTATATAATTTCCTACATGCACAACTGCTCTCCTTGTCTCCTCCCTCCCCTTCACCTCTCTCCGCTGCACAATGCGGTACAGCACAATGCCTAAATCTTTAAAAAGCAGACGCTCTCCCTCCTGGGGCTTAAACTGCTTCAAGATCCATCCGTTACACAATGCACAGCAAGCAGCAGAGATCTAAAACTACCCCCCTCCAGCTGTTTCTACACCCATTCCTTCTAGATGCAAAATATATTTAATTGGTATCATATACAAGGAGAGAATAAAAGCAGCTAAGCTGTTCATCCCCTACCTGAGCAAGGTTCTCTCATCCCCAGCTGGCAAGCGGATGGAGACAGGGAACCCAGCTGCTCTCACATAAACTCTCCTTTCCTTGCACTATAAATTATTCACATAGGTTGCAGCATCCTCCCTCTCTCTTCCTCCCTGCCTCCCTCCCTCCCTTGCTTTCTCTTACACCGCCCCCACCTGCAGATGAATGGAGGCTGAGCAGGTCGCTGCTGTCATAGTTGAAATGAGAGATTACTGAAGACAGAACAGGCAGACCTAAGTACAGCTGCTCTCTGAAGCTGAGAGGATTGGTCCTAGAGGAAGGGGCCAAACTGGCATCTGCCTAGGTGGAGCACGGGCAGCTCTGTGAACCCAAATACTGCACCCTGCACTTCTGACACCAGACCCACAGTGATGCCCTGTAAAAATCAGTGAGTTTTTTTTTCACATAGAAAGCTCATTTTTGTGGTTCTCTCAAGAATAACAGTTATTGGGTGTATCAAGTTATAATCAAGTTGAAGTTCTTCATCATCAGTTTCTATCAGAAGTTATCAAATTTATTAATAAGTCAGCAGGTAATTTTTCTTGGCACATATGAGAGATCTCTGAAAATCAGAGAGAGTTATTGGCTTCCAGGAATTCTTGTCCTAAAGATATATCTCAGCTGCTCAACTACAGGATAAGGAGTTTGAAAACAAAATATATGATTCATAAGTCCATATTTTGCCAAAAGTAGTGCATTATATTTTGAATAATCATGTCTAAAAGAAAGGAGTTAGCTCCTGTGCTTTATTATACAACTAACTTCATAAATCAGTTTAATTATCTTAATAAATAATAATTTTCTTTAGACTGGACAAGTTCCTCAAAAGCAGTAACATGTGGATATAAAAAGACAGTATCAGCAAATTGCATGTGGAATTAAGGCAGAAATGAGAAAGGATTGCCAGGATCATGTTAAAACAGGACTGACAGTTTTTTTTACAGCAGAGGCAAATCTGTAGAGTGAGGATAGACTGAAGAGCACAGAAATAAAAATATGGCCCTTGTCTTACTCGGGTCAACAAGTTAAACATTTGCAGCAATGAAATTTAGCTGGACATGAGCCAATGGTATAGACTTGCAGCCCAGAAGACTAATTGTATCTTGGGATGCATCAAAAGAGGCATAGCCAGCAGAGAGAGGGAGGTGATTGTCCCCTTCTGCTTTGTCCTTGTGAGGTCCTGGGTAGACTACTGCATCCAGGTATGCGGTCTACAACACCAGAAACATGTTGGAGCAGGTAGAGGGGAAGGCTACAAAGATGATCAGAGGGCCATAGAACCTCTCCCATGAAGAACAGTTGGGGCAGCTGGGCTTGTTTAGTTTGGAGAAGGCTCCAGGGAGACCTCATTGTGGCATTCCTCTATCTGAAGTGAGCTTATAAACAGGAGACAGACTGGCTTTTTACACGAGAAGATAGTAATAGGACAGAGGAGAATGGTTTAAACTCAAAGAGAGGAGATTTTGATTAGATGTTAGGAGGAAATTTTTCTCTCAGTGGGTGGTGGAACAGTGGAACAGGCTGCCCAGAGAAGCTATGGATGCTCCATCCCCAGAGGCGTTCAATGCCCGGTTGCATGGAGCCCTGAACAGCCTGATCCATGAGTAGCAATCCTGTCCATGGCAGGAGCATTAGAACTAAATGACCTTTAAGGTCCTTTCCAACCCAAGCCATTCTATGATTCTATGAAATGGTATTCATATTTGGAGAATAAGCAGCCTAATCCAAACAGAATGACAGGGCGTATATGTGAACTTCTTGTGCTATGCATGTACCTACAGGTTTCCAAATCATCAGAAGAACTGCTACAAAGATACACTGGATGGGAAATAAGGGAGGTCAGGCCTGGAGGGATGCAGTATGAGCCAGAACCTTCTTTCCCTCCTGGACAGAAAGGCCATCTGACAATTAAGGGTCTTTTTTTTCTTTCAGAATTATGCATAACGCAGCTTTCAGTTTTCACAGCTTACCAGTTTTTCACAGGTAATCTGAACCAGCTGGCAAACATTTCCTAAAAGCCTGAAACCCTGAAGCTTTGAAGGAATTTTTTATTTTCTGACAGGGTAAAACTGGTTAAAGAAGTCAGAAGTACCAGGGTAGAAGGGAATAACCTCTGCCAGGCCCCTCAAGCTGCAGAATCCCTAAAGGCATGACACTGCCAGACCAGAACCCCCATCCCAGACAGGAAACCCCTCCTTTTGGCAGGTTTCTGGAACAAGAGCAGGATGCAGCTGGCCCTTTAAAAGCACGAGTAACTGCTTATTTGTGTGACCAGCACAACCCACTGCAGTGCATGAGCTGGCTGGAAGCAGCTGCAAATTACTGTGCCTTAAAAATATCAGGGAAATGCAACATGGAATATACCTCGAGGTACAGAAGTTCACTTTTAAATGTACTCAGCAGGGGGGAATTTACGTGGTGCTGGATTCTTACGTCAACGCTTGATGCATTATGAAATTATGTGGCTTGGTCACATATTTTTATTCTTTCTTTTTCATTGAGAGAGGCCATACGACAACTTAGTCTTGACATTATTCTCAAGGCATAAAATAAGAGCCACCCTAAGAATATTTGTTATCCGAAGAGACTGCAAGGAACATATGTGCTTAGTCACATCCAAGATGTTTGTCAGAACTAGAAATTTAATTCCAATTAAATCCATTTTGTTTTGTTTCAGTTAGAAACATAGTTTCAGTTAGATCCTACATCTCTTCTTTGACCTACCAGAAGAAAACATGAAAACGTTTTCACAGGATAACAATTCAGCCATACAAACTGCAGTACTGTACAGTATGGTCATGGCACAAACCAGAAATTATGATGTACTCTTGCTAATTCGGCAGCATCCATTAGGAAAGAAAACTCATGTCAGAGCTGGATAAAGCCTGCACTTACCACTAAATAAACTGACAATTCACATCTTGCTGAACCGTGCCAAAATAAAAGCCAATTTCTTTTCAGCTCAGCTGTCTACTCACTTTAATGATGTAACAAAGAAAACCACCTTCCACTGACGTGTGAATGCACATGTGAATCTGAAACGTAACAACCATTTTTTCTAGAGGCAGAAAAAAAAAAGCTTCCAGCTTCCTCTCTCTGAGGTCTGCTGCCTCTATAGCATGGCTGGAGAAAAACATGGTGAAAATTAGTGCTAAAGCAAGTGATGAAACAACCAGTGTTGCCTTTGAATAGAGAATAACTAATGAAGCAAAAGCAAACTTTATTAAAACATATTTTATGAATTTGTTTTCTTTATTATTTCTTTTCTCAACAACTTACTTCTCTGTGAACTTCCTCACTTGATTTGTTACCCTCTGTTCTCTCTTTTGGCTGTATCAGTGCATCTTGCATGTCCATCCAATAAGAAAATTAAAAAAAACCCACTTTTTTGGTTTTACTTGGTTAGCTTTTTGCCTTTTAGCAACTCAGAGCATGTTGGAAAGGCAACCTTATGTACTGGCAACATAAGCAGCAAGAATATAAGACTAGGAGCAGGGAAGCAGACAAAGGCACAAGAACTATACAACTACATTAAGTTTTCTCACTGCATATAATCTCCTTTGGCTTTATGTTTGCAGAAAAGGAAGGCAAACACTGTTTTCTAATAAAGCTGCTCAGCCTGCAGAAGTTTTATTCTCTCTTATTTCCAGCATCACTTACTAAATTCTAGTAAGTCAGTACATGAGAAGGGCCTGGCAGTGTGTCCTGGTGGCCAAGAAGACCAATGAGATCCTGGGGTGCATTAAAAAGATCATAGCCAGCAGGCCAAGGGAGGTGATCCTCCCCCTCTACTCTGGCCTGATCAAGCCTCACGTGGAGTACTGTGTCTGATTCTGGGCTCCCTGGTACAAAAAAGTCAGGGATCTCCTAGAGAGAGTCCAGCAGAGGGCCACAAAGATGATAAAGGGCCTGGAGCATCTCCCCTATGAGGAAAGACTGGGTGACCTGGGTTTGTTCAGCCTTCAGAAAAGAAGACCGAGGATCTTATTAATGTTTATAAATATCTCAAGTGCAAGAGAGAAAGGGACATGGCCAACCTCTTCTCAGTCTGTGGGGATAGGACAAGGGGAAAGAGCCATCAACCAGAGCATAGGAAGTTCTGCACCAATATGCAAAGAAACTTCTTCATAGTGAGGGTGACAGAGCACTGGAACAGGCTGCCCAGAGAGGTTGTGGAGTCTCCTTCGCTGGAGATATTCAACACCTGTCTGGACACCCAACTGTGCAGCCTTCTGTAACCATACAGTAACCATGCTTAGAATGAATTTCACCCTTTGTTTGATAAGAACTGGAATAAGTAGAAAGACAGAAAGAATCTGCCAATTGCCAAGAAACAAATGCTCATTCTGCCAGGAACATTCAAGTATAACTGCAATTGTCAAAATCACACACATTTTTGAACATCCAAGCACAAGTGTGACTTTGTCAGAGTTTTCTTTCCTAATACTCAAGATATCAGCGTGATGAAAAAGATATCCATCATAGGTCATGGCTGTCCCACAGACACATTCTCCTGACATGGAGAAGACTGAGCAGAAAAACTGAAGTCATGCTTCACAAAGGTGACTAAGCAGAACCTGAAGGTCAAAGGAAAAAGTAGACAAGATAGGCAAAGGTGGGTCAGTATCACTTTGTTCCCAGTACTTGCACAGAATCTCAGAAATTGCTTCAGGAAAAAGATACAGACTTGATGATTCAGAGAGATTAATGGCATCTACGTCACAAACCCTTGGGAATAAAACAAGCTTCTCTGCATACCTGCCTGATAAGAGAGGTTACTGCAGGTACTGAGTTAATTAGTAGCAGTCTGAGCAGGAGGTAGAATAGATAGTGAGATGAAACAGGGGAAAGGTGAAAGGTGAAGTGCTTCTTAGAGATGAGTGATGAGCAAAGATCAACAATGAGATACTGGCAGAATGACTGAAGAACAAATTCTGCGGTCTTAACTACAGAAACATGCTGTCTGATCTCCCAGAGCATGCTTAAACAATAGAGAATATAAAGCTTTCTTCAACAAGTATCTCTAAAACACATGAAAGGGAGATTGTTTATGGTGGCAGTATTAAATGTCTTTGTTTACCCTATCTGATTTCTATGCCTTGTTTCATAAACACT